ATATATATATATATATATATATAAACACACACATTTTGTTTATATATATAGAGAGAGATATAGCTATAGATATAGATAGATAGATATAGATATAGATATAGATAGATAGATAGATAGATAGATAGATAGATAGATAGATAGATAGATAGATAGATAGATAGATATATGTGTGTGTATGTTTTACCTTTGTGATTTGACGTCTCTCTATTTTCAAATATTAGCTCCCGTGCATCCTCCAAGGCAGGTCCCCCAAGTCCATTGTAAGCGCACAATAGTCCAGTCCGAGACAGTGCGTCAAGCCACGGGTCAGATCTTTTCAATGTGAACCTCTCCTGAGAATTATTTTAAAAATATGTGACCATTTGAGGATAAAAACACTCGCCTTCAATGAAAAATGTTATGATGACTCCAAAAATGAAATTAAAAAGTTTTGTGCTTTGAACTGCTATTGGCGCGTACAAAGGCTGTAGTTATAAAACGAAAAGCACGAGACGCCAAAAAGGAAAAAGTAGGCTACTTATTTGTTGACGAAGTGACAGACAAGCCAAATGACAAGAAGCTTGCTCGTTGTGTCCTGCGCTTAGAGCCAAGGTGCTGAGAACTGCGTAAATCCCGCAGACAGCTTTACAGCCGCGTGTCTCTGGCCGAGTGGCGCGCATCCCGGCTGCTCTTGCTGCTCATAAGTTGGACTGAAGCCATAATGAAGCGCGGAGGCATCGCTCCTTGTGAACTGGACCAAAGGATGAAGAGCAATGCGCGCCCTGCCTCCGCGCTCTCCACTCCCTCCTGTGCGTCTTTTAGCCCTGCTGATGTCACTCTGGAGCTGTGAGCGTCACGGGATACTTTCACTCTATCTGAATTGCCTCCTACATCCTCTTCCAGATCTATAAGGCAGTACCCAGGAGGAGGCTATTATAAAGCAGTTATTAGACCCGGCTTGTTGGGTGGTTCTGCTTTGACCATTTACTCTTAGCTGCTTAGGGGCCACCTAGCAGCAGACCAGCATAACTTCTGTTTTAATTTTCATCATCATCATGGTCATCTTATAGTTTCCAAGATGCTTAAAAGCACTTTACCAAGAGTAGTCTATACAACCTCAAGGAAGGAAAGAAAAGTGCAGATAATCTAAAAGATTCAAGCCATGCTGCATTCAGCTCAAATATTATACAGTACATTACACAGAATGATGAAATGTCAATACAAGGATTGCCTGCATTTGCAGCAGCATGAGCAAGCAGCTGAATGTGTTTATTTCATTTCAGCTGTAGGGGCCAACAAGCAGTGGGTAGGGTCAGTGTCAGTCCAGACGAAGAGATATAGTCCAAATACTTTTTGACCCCATAAAATGTAATGAGAAAATGGGTTTGTGAGCAGCAGACAAGAACAAACTGTCATCCACCTGTAATAACTCAGTGTTTGTGCCAACAGCATGTCACATCCTTCAGTCTGTATCACATGATGCTTCCAAACTTATGGCTCACTGCAGCAGCAACTTTCTGCCTGTCCAATAATTGTACCTGTTACATGCACACAGGATAATTACTATGGCTTTATTTCTTTGCATTGTGTTTTTGGCATATTGTATTTATGCCACTGCCATTTCTCACACAAGACACCTAAATAAGTTTTTTTTTAACATCTGAATATATTCTTATATTCCTTGTTTAGGTTAACAGTTAGACATATAGGCTACTAGACAGAGGAAATAAAAATAACATGTAGAATCAACAATTCTTCATTATTCTAAATAAATTATAAATGTGTACTTAGAATTGACTTAGGAATTATGCACCTCTGGAGTACTAAATGCAATGTTGGTTTGGATTTGGAACCACAAATTCAGAATGAATATATTTTTGGAATAACTCATTATTTTAAAGGTCATATTACAGAGTCATAACATGTGAAATCCCTATGTGATTATGAAATTTAAATTTTTCCAGTATACTGTACAGTCAGGATAGTCTTAAGGTAGGCCCTAAGCCTGAAAAGTGTGTTTTATACATCTTCAAAGTGAATATTTAAACTGTTCAATCCTGACATGAGATACAAAATAACAAACACAATACAATATGGCTGTTGAAATCAACTTAATTAAAATTGCAACAACACTGATATGTTATGTTTTAAGTGAAACTGTAAATTGTTTTGAAAGTGCCATAAGAAGTCATTCAAATGAGTGAAGACAACTTTCAGCTGCTCAGTAATATAAGCCCAGTCACCCTATCTTAAAAACTGACCTGCGTACAGGTCAGAGTCATAATCTGAACACAAACACAGAACCATGAACATTGAATCTGAAGGCTAGAAGCACTTACTCCTGCCTCAATGGCAAAAATGGTTCTTTTTTTTTTTTTCACATTGATTTTACATTGAGCTTCCCTCTTTCATTGAAACCACAATAATGTGGTTTAAGTAATGTGTGTCCAAATGCATGACATAGGCTACCAGAAAATGTTTGTTAAATAAAAATTTCTCAACTCAAAATTGCATGCCAGTGCCTCCTTCTTATGCAACTGCATCATCATTTGACCTCTATTACACCCCATTATGCACAACACCTTTCCCTGAAACCGCTGAACACATTCTGGGGATGTTGTTGTTGATTATACCTGAGATCAAGTGGCCCATTGTTTTTTAACAAGTTCAGCCAGTGTCACATACGCGCTGTTTTGTGCTGCATAAATTAAACCACAGCAGAGGATGTCCTGGTTGTTTTGAAGTGTACCAGCCTACACATATACGCTGTGTTATGAATGGTGAGTGGGATGGAGGCACTGTTTGCCTGTTTTTGTTGTAGCCCATCTCCCACACAGTGCATTAATGACAGAGGAACCCAACTAACCACCCGTGGAATTACAACTGTGGCCCGCTCAGTAATTGTATGACCTTCAGCTTCCAGCTAAGCCATTGTGCATATTCACTCCACATTCTCAAAATGTGTGAACAAATAGAACAATAGTTTTTAAAGTGCACTCCATTTAATTGTATGTGTTTTCCATAGGTGAACTATGACATGCTGGAAATGCATTATACTAGCTGGGTGTGTCTGAAATGAAAAAGAGAGGCGCAGTGTGATGCTCTGTGCAAAAGCAGCTCTCCTGAAGTAGCGTTGTGTAAGAGCATGTGCTGTACCAACGTGTGCAGAATAACTCCAGCGCCAATTGTGTTGCACTGGACTGCCAAAGTCTGCAAAGGCCACTGGAATGATTCAGCTTCACATGTCCTTTTTGGGAGACAGAACAAATGTACTAACAAAGGATACAGGTAGTAATGGTCAATGAGATTTTAACATTGTGAACACCAAAGTTGACAAAATTCATTTTATTTTTAAACTGTGAATTATGCATGCATTATGCATGAAAACACGTGTTTAAAGGTGCACTACATAACCTCTCTGATGGGGAGTCCTACTTGTGTACATGGAGACTTTGTTACTGCCATCACTGTAATGTTTCATTGTGTGACATTATACTAGTACATCTTACATTCATTATTAATTTATAAATTTCATTACATGTGTTTTATATATATATATATATTATATATTATATATATATATATATATATATATATATATATATATATATATATATATATATATATATATATATATATATATATATATATATATATATATATATATATATATATATATATGTATATAATGTAAAAATCTAAATACATCCATCTCTGATCAATCAAATGAGAGAAAAACACATTTAAATTTAGAACAAAAGCAAGAGGAATAAGGAAATTTTATGTAAATGAATGATCATCTGCAACTGGTAATGGGACATATCAATACATCATCTCATCAATATTCTAAAAAGATTAAATTTAAATAACTTCCTTCAATAAAACAGTCTTTGCAAAGTTACAAGTTCAGGAGCACAACAAGCCCAAGCCCAAGTCAGATCACAAGTCACCAGTGGTAGCTCCAAGTCATCTGCAACAACACATGAAAAAGAGGTATTTTCATCTCTCCCGTTTGTTTCTTTAATTGTGCCCCTTAGAGATATCTTGTGATCCCAGGAAAGGTTTACGGTACAAGAGACTGCATTGTGTCAAGCATTGTCCTCAGAAATATTGCAGAACAAGAAAGTGTGTGTATTCTGTAAACATCATCAGTTCAGAATCATGGACAGTCTGTATTTGCAATCTGGCATGAGTGTATGGTTATGCTTATTATGTGTATGGTATAACCGAACTGTTATTCTCCTGGGCCAATGTCACACATGATTATTATGGTCAATTGCTATGTAGGAGGAGCACCATGAGACATATTTTCAACAGGCAGGAGTTATCACATAACTACATAAACTAAATGATTACTCATATTACCTATGAGCTTATTCAGATACAGATGCACAGCGAATTCCCATATAGTGATAACAAATTTCGAATCAAATGAAAAGGCAGTATGCTGGCGCCCTCTACTGGACACTTCTGATCGATAAATTAACACTTAATTTTGTGTCAAATGTATACTAGCAGCACATTTAAAACAATTGAGTGTAGGCAAACAAAAGTCATCAAGACAGATTTGCAGTGATTCCAGTGCTTTATGATGAACAAGAGCAGGCTTACATGCAATAAATCCACTGTGGCGTATAAAGTGCTAAGATCATTTAAAAAATACCATTTACCATTCTACCTAAAAAAAAAAAAAAAAAAAAAAAAAAAAAAAAATCTTATAATAAAACTATAGTCTCTTTCAGCACACACTTACACTTACAAAGCAAAGTGTAGCTGAAAATGTTTTTGTACAAACAGATGAAGCCATTACAAAAACAAGAGGACGACCACATAAATTAATATCACAGAGAAACAAACATCTCACTACTCTAAGAAAAGTTCTTCTCTTATTGTAGCTTTTGACTTGGCTTGTGCTTTTGGACCATAATGTGATAAGAATGTGATACGTCCACTGTGACTTATGGTGCAAGTACAAATAAAGCCCGTAATGGTGTGTAAATCCATAATAATTGATTGATTGTTCAGCCCTGGCAGAGCACGTCTGTCTCAAACTGCAGCAGCTGCCCCATGAAAGCCACATTTGGGGAGATGATGTTCCTTCGCTGCTTTACAAAGTCGAAGGCGTCCTGTAGACGAATGCGGTGAGTGTGCATGAGGTAGGCCAGACATATGGTGGCGGAGCGCGAGATACCAGCTTTACAATGGACCAACACACGACCGCCTGTCTGCTTCACTGAGTCTGTGGGGGAGCACAGAGGAAAACATGATCTCCCATTATAATCATAAGTTACTTTTTACCCACTGCACAGACCAAGGTCTTGCAACAGAGCTACACGCAAACAATGCTGCTATGAACATTTAACTTGTAATGCGTAATCCAGTAATTTTGTAACCGGATGACAAAATCTGGCTCCAAGGTTTAGATTCATAATGTATTCGGAACACAAGCAGCTTTGCAACAGTTGGGTGGATTCAGACTGGAACAACAAGGACACAAGGACCCCGCCATCATGGTGTTCTCTGAGAAGGACCCTACATTCAGCAGTAGGACATAGAAGAAAAACATGGAGCTATAAGCAGCGGTACTTTAATAATTAGGCTATACCAAGTTTATTGTTATTGCAACTGTCTTATGTATTCTGTTTTGGTCCTACCCCTGACAATATAAAAATTATACACAAACTGGCCTCGTTTGTAAGAATACTCTCACTTAATGGTGAAATATGCAACTTTTCCGGAGGAGGGTTCCACAATATAGGATTAAATATATTCCATCTCCACGGACACAAAAATGGGCCACTACCAGGTCGGGCAAGCCCACTCTCAGTAAGAGTATATGTTTATCAAGGAATTATTTTTACAATAAAAACAACTGAAAAAAAAAAAGCTTAACATAAAAGTTTGATGGTATTTTATGGAAAATTTGAGACAAAGCAAGGACATCTCTATGGTGACAGGATGGTGGCAAAAATTCCATCACAAAAGTTAAATGGTACACCTTTAATGGATTTGTTCTTATTAGAAATAACCATATTTCAGGGTACATTCTGGTTAGGTCCTGGCTTGAGCCCAGTTTAGACCTGATTTAGACTTGTATAGCCTTCTTTTGGTTTTATTTTAGTTCTGGACTATTGTAGGTTCCGTTCCTCGTCGTAATTCCAAAGTGTGAATGCTCCCTAAATGTCATCGGCCAATATAAATAATTTGCTCATTTAGTTGTAGATGCTTGAAATAACAAAACAAACCAAAACAAAAAACTACATTAACAGTCTTACAAGAACTCAACAATAAAAGTGATTGCAGGGGAGAAGCAGGCCCCGATGTCTGCAGCCACACTGTCCTCCACAGTGAGGCGCAGGTACAGGAGCTCGCCCTCTTACAGGTTAGGACAGGATGAGGAGATGTTGAGCACAGCTGTGATGCCCACTGCAGCCAGGGCCTCTCTGCATGAGGAGTGGACTGCACTACCCAAGAACAGGAAGGGCAGCAGCTCCACTGGACCATCCTGGCTCATTCAAAGAGGGGTGTGTAAGAATATGCTAAGGTTTGTGAGTGTAGAAAGATGGTCAACAGAGGCTAAAGTTGTGTCACAAAACTTTTAATTTTGCACAATTTAAGACCTTTCTTACCTGATCATAAAATGGGGTTGTGTGCCCTGGATTTGTTTCCAGAGTCATCATTTTATTGTGTACAGAGCTGTAACGTAGCTCTAGGTAGGTCTCAGAAAATCCTTCAAATCCACCTAAAATAAGATCACAAAGCATGAGTCCATTGGCGTACATTTTTTCATAACTGTCCCACACTCATACTATTCTGCAATGATGAGACAACAAATCAAAACACCAATTTCTATGCCATACAGAAGGTCTTAAAAAAAACAACAAAAAAGCAGTAGCAGGCCATCATTACCTTGCAAAAAGCACACTTCTGTCCTCACTTCGCTCTGCAGGCCAGTGAGTAGCATTCGGCTCACGCTCTCGAACTGTAGCTCATTTATAGACAGACTACTCTGGTCCCTAACAACCAAAGGACAAAAGTCTCCTTTGCGCAGCGCAGAGATGAGCCACTCCAGAGCAACCGCTGAGCCCTTTGACCTGCGGCGGAGCATTGAGTTCCAGTTCACATTGCGCGATCCGCTGATGTGCGCCAGGCAGTAATCTACAAAAGGTCTACAGCCCAGCACAAAACAGCCATAACCCCCATGCTCCCGAGGAATCCGAAGTACATGTGCCAGCTCGTACCCACTTATTTCAACCAGCTGCACGCTGGACGTCATGACGATCAAAACTTACAATGGCCAGGCTCTATATAATTTTTTTTTATATTGAAATTAATCCACAACGCAAACTGAAGTGAGAATGTAGGTAGTTTCACTCTGTGAGATGCTCTTGGGCAGAGTAGAGGTCAGTTCTAGTCGCTATTTCATGCACTTCATTGATCACAGCTGAGTGGGGCACATTGGGGCAGGACTATTGTGTCTCTTCCCACTGTAGCACTGAGACAAAACTGCGGAAATACCATATACGACAAGACCGGTGCTCCAAATATGGTATGATGTTACTCCAGAGAGTTTCCTACCGCGCACATGGTGCTGGGGTTGTGTTTTTGTGTCAAATTCAATCAACAATCTGTGATGCAGAGGAGTTCATACCTCACTCTCTTTTTCCATTGTCTTTGCTTGTTGTCACCTTTTGGCATTTTATATGACAAAGTTTGTTGAACATTTTATTCTAATAAAATGTAGGCCCATTTAAAAAGAAAAAGCAGGCCTAAATAGCCTACATAAGATTCAAGTTGCATACTAACTGACAGACAATGTCATGCCACACTATCAAGATTAGCATCTGTGTGAATACAACAATGCAAAACCAGCCCCTGCTCATGTCATAAGGAAGGGTACAAGACAAAGCTTAGCAGAGTGCAAAACATCATTATCCAGATCAAGAGAATTTAAACAGAAACAGAAACAAGATGGCGTAATCCTCCATTTGTCCTGGAGTGGTCCAAGGCCCTAGTGTCTCAAACCAGTAGGCTACCATCAAATTGAAAATGACTTGATTTAAAAAGTGTCCAGATGACTACCTCTAAAACCTTTTCTTCCACTTAAATACATGTTGCAATATTAGGCGCTTGCTTATGTCAGAAAATATACAGTGCATATGTAGCTAAACATAGTCACAAATAAAGCTGACAACATCTAGTTTCGGTGTTCTCTGTCCCACAAAGGATTATCCAGGATTAATTGAGTGGCTGTGGCTATTAATCTCTGAAACCACTGTAATCCAAGATTTAGATCATCTGTCATTCCTTACACTCCCATGTGACAACCTAATTTAGGGAAATACAGTGTATGAACACAATATACAATTTATCTGGAAACATGTTTTTCCCCTTCCCATATTATGCTAAATTGACTCTTGTCGCTTTAAGCCACATTAGAATGTGGTTACCTCCTCAAAAACATACATGCAGTTGAGTTTTGTTTCATTCACATGTTTGAGTAACCCTTTATTATTAGTCTGTCTACATCTCAAAAGCTCAAAATGCTCTGTTCCACCTTGTGATATCATGACGTGGCAATTTTCAAATCAATAGCTACCTTTTACTTTGTTCAATAGAGATTGGCAATTCCAGGTCTTAAATTATCCAAATGATTCTAGTGAGCCGTATGGAGTTTAAAAATACAGTGGAACACTTAAGAGAAGAACTCAGCCTAAGTGTGTAAATTAAACAAAAAACACAACTCCAGATATATTTAGATAAGGACACATCATAACTGTGACGTAGGTTGACTGTGAGCGGGCTGGGGTTCAGTAAGGTTAAAAACACAGACAAAGGCATGTGTTCCACAGTTTTACTTTTTTGTTGTTGTTTTTTTTCAGTAGTTAAAAGTTCAATGTGCAATGTGCAACATGGAGGCAAATAGCAGTTTCCTCTCCAGTAGCAGAACCCAGTATGTCTTGAGGTGCTTTTGATCTGGTCTGACTTATTGGGTAAAACTACAATAGCTAAAACAGGGATGGTAATTATCTTAAAATAGTGACCTAACAGTTCATAAAACAAACCCAAAATCGAATAACTATTAAAAGCCCAACTATATACATAAAAAACTAAAACCATACACCAAGTAAACTTTAAAACCCATAAACCAATAAAACATCTATCCCACTACCCCTGTACAATATATTAAAATTGGTCCAGTCCGGAACCTTTAAAGGGGGAGCTCATTGCTGTATGACTTTTTTAAGACCTGGACAGAAGAAAAGGAGGTATGTACAAAGCATATCACCACACCATTCATGAAAACACAATAAAATACACTAACACACACATCAACACTTAAAACATTCTGAAACTGATATATTGTACCATATATATTGCACTACTCAGTTTAAAAGATAATTAGTTAATTAATGTCTCTTTTTTTCTCCAGGGCCCAGCTGCTGTCAGTTAATGTGCCACTGTACCTCAGGATTAAAAGTGGTAAAAGGAAAGACAATAAATGCATTTTTAAAACCAATTATGTGCAATGACTTTAATATGTGCAAATATGTTTAAAGTGCTGCGTGCTATCAAACGTGCTGTGATTTAAAGTGTCTTAGTGAAGGGTGAAAGTGCTGAGGGTTACTTATAGATAACAAGCTGGCCTGTTACATTAACTTGGATCAGTGCACATTCATGGCTGGTTTAAAGTGCAATGTGCAGTATTTATTAAATTTGATCTTTAAACAGCTTCTGCAATGGATTTTCTTCTTGAAGTCTTTTGACTTTTTCTTCCTTCCATATCGCTCTAAGAACACAAGGAACATGTTTATTAAGTCTTTACCATTTAGTTATACTTTCTAAAACATGTTCCAACTACTACTCTTGTTCATATTTGCCTTGTGCCCATTCAGTCACTGTTTGTATTGTATTTCCACTTACCTAAGAAGAACAGCAAGGCCTAAACTTGCTGCTAGACAACATGCGATCACAATGCATATGACTGGCACCAGAGCCTCCCTCCACTTCAGAGAGTGTCCATAATGAAGAGATGGGAGAGTGACCACAGGATTCTGACCGTTTGTTGGTAAAGCAGCAACTAGAGGAAAAAAGCCGTAGGTGGACAGTGTATACAAACTCATATTAAAAATAGGGTGACATTTTATACAATTAATACAATTCCTGGGATTGTAGTTTTTTTCTTGATTAGGCTCCTGGGCATATAGTCATACCCTGAGCTTATTCGGTCACACGTTTCAGTGTTGGTAATAATATGCCTAAAATGTAAACTACATCTAAATGATTACTAAAATGTACTCAAAATAATGATAAATCTAACAAAAATAAATATTAAAATTAGACTGAAACATTTGAGTTTGTGCTTTATTGGTTAAAAAAAATCGCACGCACGCACATTATATATCATTTAATGTGTTAGAACCTTACCTGAAAGTAAGAACTTGACTTTGTAAAACACTGTTCCAGTTTGATTCTGTAGTGAACACTGATAAGTTCCTCCCTCTTCGACATGCAGCTGATTTAAGACCACAGATGAATCCTGAGTTACTACCAGCACTTTGAAATCACTCCTCTTCAACTAAACATAAAATAATTTGTTATAAAGAGGTAATGTGTGTCAATATATATAAAAGGTACTGGCTGTCACATTTGATCCCCATGAATAGTGATACTCTGGTTTTGATAACAGGAGCCGATGCCATGGAAGAAAACAGTCCAGCACTGCCTGATCTCCCTCCTTTACATCCACTGGGAACTCTAGGAATGACAGAAGGACTTCATTCATCATAGGGATAACACTTATAATCCTTTTATTAGGTGTGCACATGTACAACCAGCAGCAATGCAAAAGTGAACAACACATTTTCACACACGTGTCTCTCATGTCCTTCATTTAGATGTACAGACAAGAATACAAGTATTATGAAAACTAAATATTCTAGTACCAGTACTGGAAAAAAAATCACATAAACAGGATAGAATTTAACCTTTCCATTCTATCAGTCATCACTCCTTTTCCTATCAAAAATGTTATATCAAAATTGCGCTGAAATTTTAGTATTGTGACAACACTATACAACATATACCTCCACAGTTCTCTTGTCCAGTGGGGGAAGGGCAAGTATATGCCCTGTAAAGGCAGGAGGTACAATCCAGGACTCTTCGAATCAGCAGTCCTAAAAACCACAAACTTTTTACATGTGACTGAGGTGCTGTATATGTTTTGCATAAAAAATGAATGTGCATTGTAAAGATTCATTACTGCAATCTCACCACACTTGTTTGGACACAATCCTGAGAAAAAAATAAATGATACATTAATGTTACTTGATCATTAGTGTCTTTATGAGCTTTATTCTCTTTTACCATCAGGTATAAAGGTTCCCAAGTGCTGCGCTAATATCTCACGACCGTTTTCCATTATTTGAATGGCCTCATTTGTAGATCCTTTCAACAAGCCATATCAGGGGGTTTCAAAAGAAGTTGAAAGTAACAAAAGAAAAAAGTAGTTACCAGCCATAGCAATTAACAATATATTATAAAATACTATATCGTTTTATTGGTGAACTCCTCAAAATGTCATATTACAGGAAACTGAAACCCATGAATTGGCTATTACACAGTTTTTATACTACTGGAAATGAATTGGCTTACCAGTGGTACTTTTCAAGAAGCGATGAAATTCACTTTGGTACTCTGTTCTAGCTCTGTAAAGAGTCGTGAAGTCTGAAAATCAAGCAAGACAAATTCACACGATATAACTGTCTACCATGCACTTATTTGGAAGAGTTTGGCAATATATCAAAAACAAAACAAAACAAAGGTATCTTACAGTAGTGATTTCATGAACATACACAAGACAGGGTTTAATCACTGCTAATGAACATGAGAACATAAAAGTAAGGTTTCACTGACGATTAGAAATCAATTCAAATTGAATTAATTGCGCAGTCCTATTATGTGTGGAGAAATCAAAATTATAAAACACCAACACACATCTATGTTTAGGGCTGCAAGATTAATCTAAACTGAATCAAAATTGCAATTTGACTGGATTTGGACTGAATTTTAAAAATCACAAAGGTTGCAATCTTTGAAATACCATAATTAACACAAACTAAATATTCGGCCTTACTCTGCATTAAAAAATGCCTGTGGTTTAGAACTTTGCCAACTTTCATGTCATTTGGAATCTATTTGTCAATTCTTCAGGATGTGTTTAAAATGTGAACTTTGAACAGAACCTTATTATTAAAATCTAATCACAGTTGCAATGTTCATTAGAAATATCTCAATTAGATATCTATGTTATTTTGAATGATTAATCACAGTTATCTTACCAACGACACCCATGCGACTCTGACTTGTCTCTCTAAAGGTCACATAAGCGTAGTCCACAATCTTTTGGAGCTCGATCTGTTTGAGTGCATCAGGTTCAGACAGGACAAAATCCTCATGCATCAGCCTCACAATGCGCTCACACTGAAGACAGAGCCTTACTCCAGATAACATAGAGCAGACCCCTAACAGCAGCAGCACAAGCATGGGAGTCCACTTCATTAAGCCTTTTGCTGTCACCTACTGGAAGAAGAGGAGATTACTAAAAGGAAGTATAATTACTTACAGAAAATATGTAAAATTGGCAAAAAAAATAAAAATAAAAAAATAAAAAACTGCTACAAAATACAAACAATATGCAAAGCATAAATAGCATAAAGCAGGGAAAAAATAAAATATGAACACATTAATTAACAACATACATTCGCTTTTTGTGCTTTGGGGAGAAATTCTTGCTTTAACCACAAAATAATAATAAGGTAAACTAGCAGATAATACAAGTTGCTATGGTAACTCCATGGTTGCTGCTATCACACTTGATATGGTTCTGACAAACGTTTAGCTAGCTAAAAAACAAAAAACAAAAAACAAACAAACGTTTAGCAAGCTAACTAAACATGTTATGCAAAAACTGTCTGCCACAACTACAGTGCTCTACTTTTTAACTTTATCATCACCTGCGGTTGGTGAGAGAAGATCCAGACTCCTCCGCTATTGTTTTCGACACTCCTCTTATCAAACTACATATCCCATGAATACTGTAGCTCAGTCATAGACCAATCAGATTCTAGATTTAACTTTGAAAGGCGGGACATAAAACTTTAGGCACCGATTCTGCGCAGTGGTTTTTTCTCGCAGGCTTTCTGGCAGTGGCTGGTTGTGCGCAGGACAAAACTGGGCAAAGTCAGGTGCAGACTGCAGTGGTTGGTAAGATTACTCTTTTACTATCAATATACGCTTTGCGCTTTCCACATAGACAATTAAACTAGTTGTTGTGACAACATCAATATGCGCAATTTGCGCCATTGGCGCTAAGGAGAACCGGTGTGACTGGTTTCAAACGACAATAGTGACAGCCTCCCCTGTCACAACAACATCTTGATATTAGTTGACCATGTTAGTTTAGCCGTAGTTTACCAGGAAAATTCTGTAGTAGTAGAGGTGTAGTAACCTGTACAGTAGTATGATATGACTGTATTGTAAGAATTTTGTTTAAGGGAGCCTATGATGATAAAGTGCCAACAGGAACTCTCATTCTATGAGATTATAGAATTTCTATTTTATTATGACGTCCTTTGACCCATGTATGTGACTCTGTTATCATCATCATTATTATATGGGCTATAATTACATATTCTAAGCATAATTCAGTCTGCCTCAAGCACATTTGTCCAGTCCTATGTCAGAACCTGTTTTTATGGTATTATTGGCTCTGTTATCATCAGGGTTAATGCAGACAGTACACCTGCTATTAACTATATTATAGCCTTTGCTGTCTCCCTCAGTGCTGAACACTACTGAACAGAATGCGGCAGAGTTCAGGCACAGTCAATACATTGACCCACACATTATGTAGGCTTGGTAAAACTGAGGCTTGACATAAATATTGTTTGAGTGCATCAGGTTCAGACTGGACAAAATCCTCATGCATCAGCCTCACAATGCACTCACACTGAAGACTGGGTCTTACTCAAGATAACACAGAGCAGACCACCAATGGCAGCAGCACAAGTATGGGGGTCCACTTCATTAAGCCTTTTGATGTCACCTACTGGAAGAAAAGGAGACTACTGATGGTGTGATCTGTCCTTTTAATTCAAATATGGAAGTAATTACTTATAGAAAATATGTGAAATTTGAGAAAAAAAATCACAAGTTTCATAGAAACGTCATACAAAACTGCTACAAAAATACAGAGCATAAACAATATGCAAAGCATAAATATTGTACAGTTACAGTCATACTGCCTCCTCCATTCCTTCACTCCACAGACCACTGCAGTCTTCTTCACAGTGTTGTCACCTCCCATCTATCAACCACATCACACCCTGGCTTCCCTATCACACAATACAATACAAAATTCTGCTCTTCACATTCAAAGCCCTCCACAAGCTCTCTTTCTCCAGCTTTCTATTCCGTCTACTCCTCCACTGCTCCTCCTCTCTCCCATCTCTCTGTTCCCTCTACGCGTCCTATCATCATGGAGAGGACAAGAGCCTTCCATCGCCCACCGACTCACTCCCAAACTTCAAATCCAAACTCAAAACACACCTGTTTAGACTGGCCTATTCATTCCACCTCACCACCAGACCATAGCTGCACTGCCCTACTGTAACTGTATGTTTTTTTAACTATATATTTATTAATTGTATTTAACTTTGTTTATGCATTTGTAATTGTTTATTGTTGTAAGGCAGCCTTGAATGTCCAGAAAGGCATTTAATAAAAAAAAAATGTTATTATTATTATTATGATTATTATTATTACTACTACTATATGCTTTGACACAGGTTACACACATTCTTGTCCTTTTTGTAACTTTCTTTTGGTATTTATATTTTAGATCTGAAAAATAAAATGATGAAGATTTGTAAACAAGGTCACATGGTTTATGTCAAGAAGAACTAAAAATTCATCTGCAGGATGTATCAGATTGTCCCAGTGGCTCCCGGGGAGCCGCAGTTGGATGGTTCACCTCTGAAGAAAAAGCCCAAGTATGAAGGCCGTCCAATGGTGCTGGCCGGGTTGTTGGGGTGTGTGCTGGTGCTGGCGGCTGTAGTTGCCTGGTGTTACTACTCAGCCTCTTTGCGAAAGGCCCAGATGCTGAACACTGAGCTACTGGAGCTGAACAGAGATGGCTTCATCATTCGTAACCAATTGGGGGCTGTTATCTTTACTATGGCATTCAGGTAAGGAGCTAAACTGAGAACACTGAATATACATCACAGTGCCATAAACCACAAGGCTAAAATATTGACATAATATTGGCATTTAGTTTATTTTTTTGTCAAAAAATTCCCAGGTCTGGCACGCTGGATTTGGATTCATGCTCAAAAGAGAAAAATATTCTGAGATGCACTCATTCAAACTCTGGAAAGCTGAACTTTTTTATACAGACCATTCGACCCAAAGACACAGTGACATGCTACCGTGTGCGGTGGGAGGAGCTAGAAGACAAAACACTTGTAGAACATGCCATGAGCTGTAATGCCTCTCATTGGTACGGAGGGGCAGAGCTGGCAACACAACACTGGCCCATAAAGATCCAAGGTGAGGTGGAACCACGGCCCTTCATCACAAGCGACGTATACTCGAACAGAGATTCTTTTGGAGGGATTTTGGAACGTTACTGGCTTTCCTCAAATGCAACAGCCATCAAGATCAATGATTCTGTCCCGTTTCACTTGGGCTGGTCGGAGCAGGACAGAACCCTGCGGTTTCAGGCACAATACCTGAAGTCTCCGTTCAGACCAGAGGAGGGGCAGCAGGCTGTGCCAGAGCTCAGCTACAGAGTGTGTGTGGGCTCTGATGTCACCTCTATCCATAAAATTATGGTGAGTGAAAGATTGTCAGGATAAATAGGCATAATGTATATATTTTGTTTTAAAGCCTCTTTAAGCTACAATATTTTGGAAAAGGGATTTTAGCTGTAAAATGCTGACGGAACAAATTTATTACAAATGATCATTAACTATACTGTATTTGTATTGTTTGGGATTTCTATAAATCTGCTTTTTTATCCCTTATTTAATCAACAGGTACGAAGATATTTTCCAAAACCTATTAAAGTCCCATCTCCTGAACTGTTCAGGCACCCTGTGTGGTCCACGTGGGCTATCCACAAGTCCGCCATCAGTCAGGAGAAACTTCTTCAGTTTGCATCAGACATCTCTAAGCACGGATTTGCATCTTCACATTTGGAGCTTGATGACCGTTACACAGTTGACTATGGCGAGTTTGACTTCGACCCTCAAAAGTTCCCCAATGCTACTGGCATGTTTGACAAACTCAGAGCAGACGGGTTTAAGGTGTCACTGTGGACTCACCCTTTTATCAATTATGATTCTATAAATTTTGGCACTGCTGTGGAAAAAGGGTTATTTGTACGGGAGCCTGGAGGAGAACTTCCTGCCCTAGTTCGTTGGTGGAATGGCATTGGAGGGATTTTGGACTTTACTAACCCAGAGACCCGTGAGTGGTACTCCTCACACCTTCATACACTTAAAAATCGCTATGATATTACTTCTTTTAAGTTTGATGCGGGGGAAACAAGCTATCTTCCACGTCAGTTTAGCACACTGGTCCCACTGTCTGACCCCTCGACCTTTACCCGGCGTTACAGTGAGATGGCATTACCTTTCAATGAGCGAGCTGAGCTGCGTGTGGGTTATCAGAGTCAGAACATCTCCTGCTTCTTCAGGATCATCGACAGAGATTCAGTGTGGGGTTATGAGCTCGGGCTCAAATCCATCATTCCCACTGTTTTAACTATCAGCATTCTTGGATACCAGTTTGTTTTGCCTGATATGATTGGAGGGAATGCCTATCCGAACCGCACTGCAGGCATGTAAAATATTCCTGTGTATATGGTGCATAAATCAAAACTTTATATGCAATATATTGCATTTCTATGAACTAGGGTTCTTTTATTTTTACAGGTGTGGGTGGTCTTCCCGACAGAGAACTCTACATCAGATGGCTGGAACTGTCTGCTTTCATGCCAGCTATGCAATTTTCTATTCCACCTTGGGCATATGACAAATCGGTGAGACTCTTGGCCAACTGTTGCAACTTTTAAGATTAAAATTATTTGTTTACGATTTTGCTTGCCGTTTATGCTTCTGCATTATTTTAATATTAAGTGGTTGTAATGGAGGACAACATAATAAATGTATTGCCCTACCATGTGCAACACTGGGGCACCATTTTCAAAAAAACTATCATGTCTCAGGCAAGACACTTCATCCACATTATTTAGTATGAAAGTGGTGTGTGCATGAATGTTTGTTGTGGTGAGAGGGGCCAATGACATAGATTGGCTGCCAGTCAGTGTGCCCAAGGGCGGCTATGGCTACAACAGTAGATGACCACCACTGAGTGTGGAGAGAATGAATACTGCATTGTGAAGCTCTATGTAACGCCAATTATTAATTAATTGTGATGAATTAATACAAAGGAAAAACGCAGTGACTTAAAAACACCTTCTTAACACCTGTTTTATTTGGTGACAAAGTTTTATGACTCAACTCTATTTCTTTTTTGAAAAATCTTGATTTAGTGATTCAAAGGAATAGAGCAGTAACTGCAGCAACAAATGTCAAAGGTCAAAGATAAAATCAGTGGTGATGGCTGTGATTGATAAACATGACCTCATTATATGGTAACACATAAGCATACTATCATTAGTATACCTCATACACAAAAGGGATAACATCAAAACTTTTTTTTTTGTTAGTATAACTATTAGCACAGATACTGTGTTTTTCCTTTGTAGGGCAAAAATACTTTGATGGTGAACTTTTTTGCCCTCCTTTTTAAAAATGAATCACTTGAAACAGTTTATGTATACTCTGTAAATTGTATGTTTAAATGGCTTATAGATGTATATCTTTGCAGGTAGTGGAAATAGCACATAAGTTCACCAATCTCCACAAGGAACTGGTGGCCCCGAGAGTGTTGGAATTGGCAGGGGAGGTTCTTGACACAGGGGACCCGATTATAAGGCCTTTGTGGTGGATTGCCAATGATGATGAAGCTGCCTACAAGATTGATTCCCAGTTCCTGATTGGAGATGATTTAATGGTGGCTCCTGTGCTTGAGCCGGGAAAGCAAGAAAGGGACATCTACCTGCCAGCTGGAAGCTGGCGAAGCTACAAGGGTGAGCTCTTTGACAAAGGTCCTATTTACCTCACAGACTATCCTGTGGACCTAGACGAGGTGGCCTATTTTACATGGGTGCAAGTAACTGAGTGACTGCACAAACATGGATTATTATTATTTAAGACATTCAGTATAATGAATTATACCTAAGACATTATTTAAGACATTCAGTATAATCTTGCCCTCAATTTCTTTACATGAAAATAGAATGCGATTTTGAAAATGATTTGGGTGATTATTAATTCTGTTAATGCATTTTTGTTTGTTTCAGTCATTTGCTGATTCATTTGAGTCAAAGCTAATTAGTCTTTTTAATTTTAATTCCCTTGTGCCTTTCACATTCTTCCATCCAATTCATATTATACTATTCTATACCTTCTATCTTATACAACCTATTAATATCTTATGTGGTCACTTGTGACTTGAGTACTCTGTTAATTGTAGTAAGTCCCAACTGAAGCCATATTAGATTTGTGCCTGCAATGGATAAATGTCTTCCAAGGATCTTTATTCAGTTTAAACATGCATTATGTAATATTGCCTACACTATTCTAACATGAATAACTATTTTTGAAAAGGGAATTAGAAATTACATTTATTTTGCCTCTTACACTCACTACTGAATTATTTGTTAAACTTGCCATATTACCATCTGCCATCCATTCCTGCCTTATATCTTGAAATAAGAGAATGTAATATTTTATGTAACTCTGGCTGTGCCAAATCAAAGTTGTAAATACACGTTGTACATTACATTTGTTACCTTAAGTGGAACACTGGAAATAAAATCACCTGTTTAATTCCATGGTAAAGATTTAGTCATTGCTACAGCATCTGTATTTCAGCAGTGGAGTATAAAAAAACAAAAAAGCAGTAGTAGAAAAATGTTTCCATCACTTGTAATTTCTACATTAGCAGAAATTGAAGTGTTAAGTTAAGTTGGTTTTACAGTTTATGGAAAAGCATGGCATAAAGAATTTGAAGAAAATAAACCGCTTTTCTTTTATTTTATCGCAAGTTCAAACTGTGAAACCTTTTTTAAAGCCACACATTGCTACATTTTTCTCTCTGGTCATTTATTTTCAATTTGTCATAAGAATATGTTAAAAATTAGATCACACAAAGGGTAAAAATGGCAGAGGTGAGCAGTACAAGAAGGACACTGGGAGCCGTCGGTATGAAGCCATTACACAAGTCACCCTTGCAGCAGTAGGGGAAATTGCTGGAGCACCCGAGACTGGTGTAACAGCCCTTGACTTCATATCCTGTATTCACATAACAAGAAATCTTACATTCAGGTACAAATAAGTGAGACAATGCATTGCCAAATAGGGACTCTTACCTTCAACCTTCATGGCAAAACAGCGATTCAAGAGTTGCTCGTTACACTCGACAATGTTTGTACATGATCTAGTGGGACTTAGGCATGAGTAGCATTTTAGGGCACAGGCTGTGAAAAAAGTCAAAAAGAAAAAAAAAAAAATTAAGATGATAGGGTCTACATTTCCACCTTTTGAGATTAAGAAACCCAAAATATAGAATATAAGATGTTCAATAGTAATGCACTGAATATACTTGATCTTCAAATAATTGTTGTGAAGTAATTGCACCTACGTTTTTGTGCTTTGCTTGAGATAATAATCAAATTAAGTAAAATGTAAAGGTTTCTAAAAAATATATATATATATATATATAAACTCACCTGTAGAGAGGCCCATAAGGAAACTCAAAACTTTAATAAACATCTTCATCACTGTAGTCACTGACAGTTCTCTGATGTACTCCTCATTATATAGACTACTTGCTGGTTGTTCCACAATTTCAAAAGCCAGTAGGGTTTATTTTGTGTGTGTGTTTTTGTTCCCACAGTTGCACAAGTGAATTTTCACAAAGAAAAAACAAATACATGAATGTGAAAAGTACAAAATGTCATCTTGTATTTGTCATTATTATATGGGTATGTAGGGCACACAAGTTGACACCATTTTGTAACCTAATTTAATATGGTTTGTAATTTACATTAGCTTGTCATTTATGTTATAATTTAGATGAACATGTATATTTTATTCAGCTAAAAAGGCTTTAGTAAAGTTTCTGGTGACTTAGTCATTTATAAAACTAGCCCATATTTTTATAGAATACAGAGAAATACACTGGAAAGTTGAAATTTCATTAATAATAAGTCATTATTTGTATTAGACTCTCAAGATCAAGCCATATGTATACTGTTGTTGCGTACTGTATTGTGAATAGGCAATATGAACATTAGGTACATTAGTTTATTCAGATTTTACATGAAGAATAAGATGGCAGTGGATGAGAGAAACAACAAAAGGAAGCTAGGCCCTGTAAATTGCCTGGCTCCATTGCACAGATCCCCTTCACAGCACTTCATAGGTCCAACACATGCAATACTGGTCTGGCATCCCTTAGTAACTGCATCATAACCTGCAAGACAAACAGATGTCTCAATACTTCTGCTGAAACTGTGAGGAGCAAGGAGTATATCACTCACCATGTACACTTAAGGAAAAGCATCGGTTAAAAATAACAGGACACGATTTTGTGTCAGTACAAGATCTTGGTTCAGCAGCGGTACATGTGTAGCATCTCAAACCACAAGCTGTAAGAGAAGACAGTGGATTTGAACTACATGCTCCAGTCGTAAGTGTTAAAGAGGGAGAGGAGGGACGGGAAGGGAAAAAAAGGAAATACATAGTTTTCCGCCGAGTTCTCGCGACCGCCCCAGCACGCCTTTTTCGCTGCCTAACAGCTGCCCAGACCAATAGCTCGTCCAACAGAAATATTACATAGTGTACCTTTAAATGCTTTTTAGGAGTCTTTGCGCCCCTTCTGGCCAACCGTGAAAAATCCTCCATGTCCGGAATATACATAGTTTTTTGCTTGTAATTATGCATAGAATTTAATCCCCTAATTTGGTACTAATCCGATAATGTCGATGTGTCCACTAGAGGGCACTTTAGTGTTCACTTTTCATATAATTTATAGTGTATTATAATCAGACCAAAATCACGCATTAGTGATTCAAATTTCAGCACATTTGGACTAAGCCTGTGTGTGGAATAATTTCTTAACTATTTTTTGCGGGAGTCTTTGCACCCCTGCTGGCCAACCGTGAAAACTCCTCCATGTCCGGAATATATATTTTTTTGCTTGTAATCATGCATAGAATTTATTCCCCGAATTTGGTACTAATCCGATAATGTTGACGTTTCATGTCTATGCTAGGGGGCGCTATAGAGTTCACTTTTATTAGATTCCATATTTCATTACATTCAGGTCTGGATCACGCAATAGTGATTTGAATTTGAGCTCTCTAGGACAATGCCTGTGGCCGTGACAGGTCACAGAAGAAACAGGAAATGAAGGCGTTTTTCGCCGGCGTTCTACGGGCGAACCGTAAGGAGTATCTCAAAAAATACAAAATGTTTGTGAGTTTATATCTGTAGATGTGACATGTCAAATCTGAGCTCATTTGGACCAAACCCCGGGGACTTGAATCTTTTTGTAAACACCCAAGTCAAAACGGCGCCGAATTTTTTGATCCAATATGCTTGTCTCCTTGAGTTCCATTACTGTTCAGAATTTCGTGAACCTACGCAAAAATATGAATAACTATTTTTGAAAACGGAATTAGAAATTACATTTATTTTGCCTCTTACACTCACTACTGAATTATTTGTTAAACTTGCCATATTACCATCTCCCATCCATTCCTGCCTTATATCTTGAAATAAGAGAATGTAATATTTTATGTAACTCTGGCTGTGCGTCTCAGCCTCCCATTCATTTCAAAATGTGCATTTTCAAGGGGGCGCTGTTGAGTGGGGGTGCTTTGGGCATTGTCGCGATGCCCATTTTATACAATTTTTCGATCTGATACCCGGTTTGGGGACTTTTCGTCGATGTTTAGGCCTTCAGAATTGAGATCGTTTGCAAGGAAAAAATATTAATATTAATTAAAGCTGCGCGTGGCGATGGTGGCCCTTGCCCCGGCGCGCACCTGGATCACACAATTGTGATTTGAATTTGAGCTCTCTCGGACAATGCCTGTGGCCGTGACAGGTCACCGAAAAAACAGGAAATGAAGGCGTTATTCGCCGGCGTGCTACGGGTGAACCGTAAGGAGTATCCCAAAAAAAGTTGAAAATTTCTCGCGACCGCCCCGACACGCCACTCTCTCTTCCCAACAGCCGCCCAGGACGACATCTTGTCCATAAGACACATTACATAATGCACCTTTAAATATTTTAAGGAGTCATTGCGCCCCTACTGGCCAACAGTGGAAAATGCACCATGTCCATAATAGACTTTCTGACTTGTAATCATGCATAGAATTTAATTCCCGAATTTGGTACAAATCCAATAATGTTGACGGGTCATGTCGCTAGGGGGCGCTATAGTGTTCAGTTTTCATATGGTTTATAATGTATTATATTCAGGCTCAGATCACGCATTATTGATTCAAATTTCAGCATGATCCGATTAAACATGGGCATATAATAATTTTTTTTACTATTTTTTGGGGGAGTCTTTGCGCCCCTGGTGGCCAACTGTGAAAAATACCCCATGTCCGTAATGGACTTTTTTGCTTGTAATCATGCATAGAATTTTATTTCCAAATTTGGTGCTAATCCAATAATGTTGATATTTCATGTCTATGGTAGGGGGCGCTATAGAGTTCACTTTTCATATGTTTTATAGTGTATTATGTTTAGGCCGTCATGCATTAATGATTCAAATTTTAGCACGATCGGACTAAGCATGTCCCTGTAATAATTTTTTAATTATTTTTGGGGGAGTCTTTGCGCCCCTGCTGGCCAGTGGTGGAAAATGCATCATCTCCGTAAGGGACTTTTTTGCTTGTAATCATGCATAGAATTTAACCCCCGAATTTGGTACAAATCCGATAATGTTGACGTTTCATGTCTATGCTAGGGGGCGCTATAGAGTTCACTTTTATTAGATTTCATATTTCATTACATTCAGGCCTGGATCACACAATTGTGATTTGAATTTGAGCTCTCTAGGACAATGCCTGTGGCCGTCACAGGTTACCGAAGACACAGGAAATGAAGGTGTTTTTCGCCGGTGTGCTACGAGCAAACCGTAAGGAGTATCCCAAAAACGTGGATGATTTGAGTGAAGCTATGTCTGTAGATGTGACATGTCAAATCTGAGCTCATTTGGACCAAGCACCAGGGACTAGTAGCATTGTGCACACACGCAAGTCAAAACGGCGCCGAATGTTTGATCCAATATGGCCGACTTCCTGTTCGTCATAGGGTCATGCTCCAATTCATCTTTTGTCTTGTCTCATTGTTCTCTATCACTGTTCCGAATTTCGTTTCCCTGTGACAAACTTTGCCTGTCCGCACTCCCATAGGGGTCCAATTCTAGGCGGCGCTGTTGAATCGGGTCACTTTGGTCATTGTCGCGATGCCAATTTTATCGAATTTTTCGCCGAGCCGGTCGATCTGAACCCCGGTTTGGGGACTTTTCGTCCATGTTCGGGGGGTCAAAAATGCGATTCAATGTGGGGAAAAAGAATTAAAAAAAAAGAAACCGAGGAAGAACAATAGCCCTCGCCAGTTACTACGTTACTGGCTCGGGCCAATAATAATAATAATAATAGTAATAATAATAATAAGAAGAAACCGACGAAGAACAATAGCCCTCGCCATTTACTGGCCCGGGCCAAAGATATACTATATTCTGAATTGTGAAAAGTCCTTAGCATGTTGCCCATATTGCCTACCACATTTTTGGAAGGTGCAAAGAATTTCCACAAAATATTACAAGGCTATATATAACATGTTAACTATTACAAGGCCGCGGCTTGTCATATAAGTAATACAAATAAATAAATAAAAAAATAACTTTGACTTTCAGTTTGAGTTTGGTGCCTGAGTCTTGTGGCAGGAAACTTACTAGAATAAAATGAACATTTATTCTTTTAAATTTTTAACATAAGGTGTGCCACTGTTGACCAGTCTGTTCATAAGGAAAAACGAAGGAAAAAGTACGAAAGTTAGAAAAATAAAGAATAGTTCTTACCAATAGAAATATTTAAAACTAGAATGAGAGCTCTGCAGATCGTCATCCTGAACTCGCGAAAACATTAAGAGAAGGAAGTGAAAAAGCTGTGCAAAGTGCAAATTCTGGCAAGTTCAACTTCTTTCACACACCCTCCACAACCCCCCTCTTTGTGACCTGAATAAACTGAACACCCATTATCCATTTAAAGGGACAAGGAGATTAACTCATACAAGGCGAAACTTGGTTTTACAATAGACAAAAGTATAGGATACTTGGAGCATATTATAACTAATAATTGTAGACATTAATACACAGTCTTATTATTATTATTATTATTTGTAGTAGATACATGTTATACCCCGTGTTGACCACTAGGTGGCGGCATAGGCTGAAGGTTGGGAAAAATGTGTCAGTTGTTGTTCCCGGTTGCTGTTGAACTGTGATTGAGTAACGTTCAGTAAAAACCAAAAGTCATCTACAACCTGTGGTCCGCTCATCCTTCATTAACAAGGATATTACATTTGGCGACGAGGAAACTGGTGAACTCGGGAGACGCTGTTGGTGCAGGAAACAGCTTGAGTGTTTCATGAAACAGTTTCTCGGCTAATGTCGGACGGCGAGGAAGCTGGCGCTAGCGGCGGGATGGCTACTTCCATGGTGGGAGCGCTGACGGCGTTTGACAGTCAGATACAGACCTGGGAGGAATATTGTGAAGTTGTGAAGTTTTGGAGCACTTCTTTGAGGCAAATGGGGGGGAACACTTGGCACGGGACTGCCGGTTTCTAAATGAAAAGTGCCATGGGTGTGGGAAAAAGGGGCACGTGAAAAAGATGTGCAGGTCCTCTCCTCCTAGGGACCAACAACAGGCTAAGGGGGGAGGGAAGAAGTATGTCAAGGGTGAAAAGGCTAGCTGGAAAGAAAAAAGGCAGTACGCGCATCATATGAGCGAGTCCACGGATCCCCAGTCCAGTGACGAAGAAGTGTTTTCAATGCACAACCTAAAAGACTCAAAAATGGCAAAGGTAGACCCCATTACCACACAGCTAGATCTGAATGGGAACATGGTACAGTTTGAAGTGGATACAGGCTGTAGTGTGTCGATTTTACAAAAGATGAATACAGCAAGTTATGGGCAGCGGGAAACGCACAGGAGTTACAAAACTGCTCATTGACTCTGAAAACATACACAGGTGAAAAAGTCTCTACACTAGGAACGGCAATGGTAACAGTAACCTACAAAGACAAAGTCAAGCAGTTGCCAGTAGTAGTGGTAGCAGGGAGGGGGCCAAACCTGCTAGGCCGAGCATGGCTAAGAGAGTTGGAAATGAACTGTGTGTTTGTCAATAAGATGGAAACAGCCTCAGCTAACGTTACAGAATGTGCTAAAGCAGAATGAAGAGGTATTCAAAGAAGAACTGGGAACCTGGAGAGGCCCGCCCGCAAAAATATACGTAAAAGCGGACGTGGCTCCAAAGTTCTACAAGCCCAGGCCCGTGGCTTTTGCCATGAGGAAGAAAGTAGAGTTAGAGCTGGAAAGGCTCACAAAGGAGGGCATAATTGAGCCAGTGAGGTTCTCAGAGTGGGCTGCACCAATAGTGCCGGTGTTAAAGACTGATAGTTCGGTGCATGTTTGCGGGGACTACAAGCTCACAGTAAACCAAGTTTCCAAGCTAGAGCAGTATCCAATACCCAAGTTGGAGGACTTATTTGAGAAGTTGACCGGGGGTGAGAAGTTTACTAAACTGGACCTTAGTCACGCATATCAACAAGTCACCCTCGATGAGGCATCAAAGCCTTAATGTCACAATCAACACACACAAAGGGCTTTTTCAAGTGAATCGCCTACCATTTGGTGTTTCCTCTAGTCCTGCCATTTTTCAACGGATAATGGAGGGTCTGGTGGCGGGAATCCCTAATGTGGCAGTTTATTTAGATGACATCCTGCTGACCGGTCGGAGTGACCACGAGCACCTGGAGACCTTGAACGAAGTCCTACAGCGGCTACGAGAGGCTGGTCTTCGTCTGAAGTGCAACAAATGTGTCTTCATGGAGCGAGAGGCCGAGTTCTTGGGACACAAAGTGGATGCCTCGGGGCTCCACCCTCTGCCAAACAAGGTCAGGGCTATACAACAGGCACCAGCACCAACTAATGTCACAGAACTGAGAGCTTACTTAGGCCTGCTCAAGCTATTACAACAGATTCTTGCCAAATCTCTCAACACGGTTAGCTCCCTTGCACAGACTGTTAAGGAAAGAAACGCCGTGGAACTGGCAGGAGGAGCAAGAGAGAGCTTTTGAGGAGTCTAAGAGGCTCATGCAGTCGTCAGAGGTGTTAGTGCATTATGACAGCCATAAAGACTTAATCCTGTCCTGCGATGCGTTGCCTTACGGAGTAGGGGCGGTGTTGTCGCATCGCATGCCAGACGGGCAAGAGCGGCCTATTGGCTTCATGTCACGGACACTCACGGCAGCTGAAGCAAACTACTCGCAGCTGGACAAAGAAGGACTGGCGGTGATGTTTGGCATTCAGCGCTTCCATAAATATTTATATGAAAGGAGGTTCATCATCTGTACAGACCACAAGCCTTTACTGTCCCTCTTCAGTGAGATGAAAGCAGTGCCTCAAATGGCATCCCCTCGCATTCAGCGCTGGGCAGTGACTTTGCGAGCATATGAGTATGAGATTGTCTATGAGCCGGGTAAACACCACAGCAATGCGGACGCTCTGAGCCGGCTCCCCCTGCCTCAGACAGCCGTCAGGAGAGAGCAGGAGGACCGCGTACTGATGCTGGAGGAGGTAACGCTCGTGTCAGCCAGTGAAATTAGCCAGTGGACACGAAAAGACCCAGTGCTGTCCAGAGTCTGTCAGTTCATTCAACATGGCTGGCCACCACAACACTCAGACTCAGCTTTCCAGCCTTATGCGGTGAGGAAAACCGAATTAAGTGTGCAAGATGGGTGTATATTGTGGGGGTCACGCGTGGTGGTACCCCCGACAGGTCGCGAAGCATTACTGGGTCAACTGCATCATGGTCACCCAGGCATCACCCGAATGAAAGCATTAGCACGAAGCTACTTCTGGTGGCCAAAGTTAGATGCAGACATTGAATCTGTAGTGAAAAGATGTAGCACCTGCCAAGAACATCGCCACTTACCAGCTCCAGCACCACTCCACCCTTGGGAGTGGCCGAGTAAACCGTGGCAGAGGCTACACATAGACTATGCGGGTCCTTTTATGGGTCACATGTTTTTGATACTGATGGATGCCTATTCCAAATGGATGGACGCCTACGCGGTAACCTCAGCAACTTCTGCCAATACGATTGAATGTCTGCGGAGAAGTTTCAGCAGTCAAGGATTACCTGAGATGATTGTGTCAGATAATGGTACGTGCTTTGTGAGTGCCGAATTCCAAGAATTCATGAGGAAGAACGGAATCGAACACATCACTTCAGCTCCTTATCATCCTTCTTCAAATGGCTGTGCCGAGCGTGCAGTCCAGACAATTAAGTCCATGATGAAAAAAGCAGGTGAAAGTAGCATCCATACTAAAGTTTCAAGAGTGCTGTTTAGTTACCGCATTACCCCTCAGTCCACCACAGGGCTGTCACCAGCGGAAATGTTGCAGGGCAGGAGGTTGAGATCGACACTGGATCTAGGGCATCCGGACCTCAGAAACAAGGTGGAACGGAAGCAGTGCATGCAGAAGAAGCATCACGACAAGCTCGGATCAGGAAGAGGTTTCCAAGTGGGAGATGCAGTGTCTACACGGAACTTCAGTTATGGGCCTAAATGGGTTCGGGGTTTTATTACCAAAGTCACGGGACCGGTGTCTTACAAGGTCATGTTGGGAGATGGAACAGTTGTCCGAAGGCATGTTGACCAGATACTGGCCAGACCGGAAGACGCGGACCTAGTAGACCCTAAGATCATAGAACCACCCATGGTGGATTTGTCTTCAGCTGATCCTGTGCCAGTGAGAAATAGCTGTGCTCCAGAAGGAACTGTGCAAGAAAACCCAAAACCACCTGTGACAGATATTCCGGTCCCAGATGCAGCAAAGGACGCACCACCCCAGCAAACAGCTGCACCAGCACGGCGTTCTCAACGGACTGTCTCAAAACCTAGTTATCTGAAAGACTATGAATGTTGATTCTTAACAAAAAAAAAAAGAAAAAGAAAAGGTTGTGTCAGGGTTATTATAATGTTTGAGAAGATGACACAGTTAAATGTGAAGGTGGCTAGTTTTGGAAAGCTACAGAATAATTAGTTAATTTTTGTTTGAGTAGTTAAGATGAAAGTAATAGCTTAAGAGGGGAGGAATGTAGTAGATACATGTTATACCCCGTGTTGACCACTAGGTGGCGACATAGGCTGAAGGTTGGGAAAAATGTGTCAGTTGTTCCCGGTTGCTGTTGAACTGTGATTGAGTAACGTTCAGTAAAAACCAAAAGTCATCTACAACCTGTGGTCCGCTCATCCTTCATTAACAAGGATATTACATTATTATTTTATTATTATTATTATTATTTATTTATTTATTTTTTAAACAAACTGGTTCTTGAAGACTTTATTTTCCCAAGATATTGAGGAGGATCAGTGACAGTTGTGTTTGGCAGGGGCATTATGAGCATTATGCACCGATGCTGAAGATGGCGATAGAGCGCACGACTGACAAAGGATTACGTCACTACGCTGTAGGAGGACGCACACGTCGCCGGTGTTCTTTCAGGCAAGCTTTTCAGCTTCTTTTACTACACATTCTGCAGCTGCAAAACCGTGGCTGTAGAGCTATACCTAATTCGGTATATTTCTGTAAATGGGTCGAATAAAACATGCGAAAGTGTGTGAAAAAGTCATGCACCGCTCAGAGCACGATCAGCGCTTATTTTGAACCACCAAGCAGTGCTACAACCACTGAGTGCAAGGATAAACAAAATGCATCCAACCCACTGGCCTTTAAAAACAAGGTGTGTAGACCACTGATCCACATTGCATGTACTGTACTGTGTAGTAACCATGGACAGTCTTTGGCAGTAAGCCTGTATGCATGTCATGACCATAGCCATAATTATGTGTTCTGTCCTGCAGCACAAACGCACTTCTACCAGCAAGTTTGATAGTAATAATAACGGTCCTGGATGTGGTCCATCAAAACGGTTCAAACTCCCCCTCAGAAAGCAGGAAGAGGAGAAAGAATCTACTAGGAACAATGCAGGTGCAGTGCACAGTAGGTTAACTTATGTGAAGTTTTATCTGAATAGATGGAGAGAAATTTTGTCATTTTGAGAGTATGTCTGTTTTAGATGGTCATTTTCTATCAACCATTGATGGGGGCTTATGCACATCCACCTTGGAAAAACTAAGAGGTTTTGCCTGCAAAGATGATGATGCACATATTGCTATACAGAAGGATGGAACCGGAGCTGGCATTTGTGAATTTCAACTGTCAGGATCAAAACAAGGCAATGAAATGGAGAAAGTAGAAACTGAAAAAAACAAGGCAGAGGAAGACTATAAGACAAGCCTTGTGCTGGTAAGGAGTAACTGTTACAGAAGATAGATGTGGTGGGTAACAGTGTGTATTGTGTTTGTGTTGTAGTCCTCTTTCTCTCAGTTTGCCAGTCCAGGAGTTGAGAGAAAAAGTAGAGAGCCTTGCCTTCTGGCAGACAGAACATCACCGCCCAGGTGCTCAAAGAGTGTGTACACCCCACTGGAGCAGCAGGTGATTGACCTGAAGCTGCGTCACCAAGATGTCCTGTTAGCTATCGAGTGTGGATACAAGTACAGATTCTTTGGAGAGGATGCAGAGGCAAGTCTTTTGCAGTCATAACTCCTAATCAAAGCACAGTATTTTGTAAACAGTTGTGAGTGAGTGTGGTGGTCGTTGGGACCAGTGGCACAGATTCATCATCATTCATCCATCAGTCTGCCCCAGGGCAGCTATGGTTACCAGAGTACTTTGCCACCACCAGTATGGAATGAATGAATTATGCACCGAATTGCAAAGCTACTTTGAGCGTCTGGAAAAGTTCTATATAAGTGTAATGCATTATTAGACTGTCCATCCATCCATTTTTGTCCGCTTATCCGGGGCCGGGTCGCGGGGGCAGCAGCCTAAGCCGGGACTCCCAGACTTCCTTCACCCCAGACACGTCCTCCAGCTCCTCCGGGGGAACCCCGAGGCATTCCCAGGCCAGCCGAGAGACATAGTCCCTTGTACTCAGCACTGCTGTTCGGCCCGTAGGCCGACACCACAGTGAGAGACCTGTCCCCGACCCGAAGGCGCAGGGACGCGACCCTCTCGTTCACCGGGGTGAACTCCAACACACAGCAGCTGAGCTGTGGGGCAATGAGCAGGCCTACACCAGCCCGCCGCCGCTCCCTGTGGCCAATGCCAGAGAAATGGAGAGTCCAGCCCCTCTCAAGGAGTTGGGTTCCAGAGCCCAAACTGTGCGTGGAGGTGAGGCCAACTATATCTAGTCGGTAACGCTCAAACTCCAGCACAAGCTCAGGCTCCTTCCCCCTCAGCGAGGTGACATTCCATGTCCCCAGAGCTAGTCTCCATGTCCGGAGATCCGGTCGCCGAGGCCCCCGCTGTCGACTGCTGCCCAGATCTCTCTGCACCGGCCCCATATGAATCCTCCCGCGGGTGGTGGGCCCACATGAGGACGGCCCCACGTCGCTCCTTTGGGCTAAGCCCGGCCGGGCCCAGGGCTCCAGGGTGAGGCCCCGGTGACGCCAATCCGGGCAACGTCGCTGGCCTCTGAGTGGACATCATCATATAGGGCTTCTGATCATTATTAGACTGCATTTTCATAATTCTTTTTTCTAGTAAACATTTGCATTTGATCACAATTTTATTATAGTGATTTGATTTAAATAAAGTGCATTAAAAACTGGTTTGTAAAAAATATCTCTTTACAGATTGCTGCAAAGATTCTCAGTGTCAGCTGCTATTCTGATCATAATTTTATGACATGCTGCATCCCTACACATCGCCTTTTTGTTCATGTCAGACGCCTTGTGGCACACGGGCACAAGGTAGTGTTTTCTATGCTAAAACGTTTGGGTTTCTCAGCATTCTTATAAATCTTGTTTTCTTCTTTAGGTTGGTGTAGTGAAACAAACAGAGACGTCTGCGATCAAAGCTTCAGGAGCCAATAAAAATGCTCTGTTCACTCGAGAACTAACAGCTCTTTACACAAAGTCCACTTTAGTTGGAGAAGGTACCTTTTACATGTATCTCTGTTTTAATTCTAAATTAGCTAATACCAGGTGCAAAATAGTTTGTCAAACCTAATACAAATCACACCTTTTCTTTAAAGATGTGAACCCTGTGTGTAAGATTGAAGACATACCTGAAGTATGTAGTGATGGGCCTAGCATGGACCCTCCTCACAGCTTCTTACTCTGCATCAGTGAAAACTGGGACAAACAACACAAGCAGCTTACTGTTGGCCTTGTGGTGAGTCTAAGCATTATAGTTTGTTGAATGTAATAATGAAATACTCAAAATTAAAATGCCTGAATGTGCCTGAATATGAATGTGCTTACACTGTATGTGTGAGCTTTCAGGCTGTGCAGCCCAGCACCGGGGACGTGTTCCTGGACAGTTTTTCTGACAGTTCGTCTCGTTCTGAGCTGGAGGCCAGAATCCTGAAGATAAATCCTGTGGAGATCCTGGTGTCTTCTGACCTATCAGAGCTCACACTCAAACTACTCCACAGCATCACAACTGCCAGGTAATGCTCTGTCAGGCCTGTAGGTGTCAGTATTTCCACATATACTTATTCAAATGTGTTGACATTTTTTATGAATAATCAGAGCATAGATTTTGAATTACTGACAAAACATTCTTGTTAAACTTGTATTGACATTAAATTCAACTAAGGATGTGTAAATTAGCTTCCCGGTTGTGCCCTATGGCCAATTTGTGGTCAGTGTCTTCTCTTTTTTTGTCTCTCTCTTTTACTTTTATTCACTTCACAGCTTCACAGGGATATACATGGGCCCAATTGGGTTTCACCTGTATTTCACATTTTAGGAGAAAGACTGCTTACTGCTTTTGCTTGAAAGAGATATTAATAATAATGGTGAGCGTCATGGCAACCATCTGCATTCATGGTGAATGAGAGAGGCCTTGCTCTTTCATGTTTCACGTCTTTCCATTCACAAAAGATGATGAATCACAGCATTTGCTTAATCTAATTAACAGCTCAGTGATGGGGATGCTGCACTTGCATTCCTGAAATCTGTTGTCTCCCATTAAGCATCTTCACTCCTACACAGCATGTTCACCCCAGTGGGGCTGGTTACTGTGGGAGAGGGCTGTGATTTTTTATGCCAAAGGGGAGAGATGGATTACATAGATGAACAAAATGTGTGCCTGTAATTCTTTCTGTTTTCACTCTTATCTTTCACCAAAGTCCCTTTTTACTAGTTCATGGAGTTTTGTATTTAGCAACTCAAGCAATAAACTCCAGTTTATTTGTGACATTATTGATATTACTCATCTCCACAGAGATTTTGTTGATGTAAAACGGTGACTGATGGCCTTGAAACACTCTTGGGTCTGTGCAGGGCTTTGTTTACATGTATTAGCCACTCAGTGACACATGGGTTAACATATAAATCAGCAGATTTTTTGCTTCTACTGATGTGGGTTATGCAGTCTGTGTGTCTCTAGAGTGGTCTGATGAGATGGACCCCTAGCAACGCAGTGCATGTGTGCCTCCAGAGACATGGGTAATGAGTCCCATAGTGGCATGTTGTAAAAAGGTGCCACCGTGGCCATTTTCCTCCTAACAATGGGAACACAAGTGTGTTGAAGATTTCAAGTCAATATGTTATAATCACTTTTGTACTTTTTCATTTTTATTCATCTAAAAAATTATAGACAGCCTGCAGCATCACATACCAAGTGTTTTGGTTCTGCTCAGGTTTAATTTTTGATCTTTTGTCATTCTAACTGATTATTTTAATTACACACAATCACACATAATGCTTTATTTCCTTATCAGAAAGTGGTTTTCAGAGTTAATTAAGTAAGTAACACATTTACTCAGCATTTTGTTAATTATTAGTGTTTAACAGTGAGTAGTGTAAAAATCATCCATATATGTATTAATATAACTTTAATGGTTTTGTGCCATTCAGATATGACCCAAGGTTCTCTTTTTTCACTTGCCATGTTATATAAATGCTTCCCTTCCATATATCCTGGTATATTGATCAGTACATAATGGAAAGCTCTTGAGTAGCTCATAATGTGTTTAAATTGACCATTTAAATGATTAATGATAGTAGTTGCACTGCTGGCCCAACACATAGTCAATTGATCTTTTTTATATAATCTTTGCGCTTGATTTCCTCATCTGACTGTGAAGAAACCTTTTGGGTGTATGATATGCTGTGTGTGTGTGTGTGTGTGTCTGTCTGTGTCTGTCTCTGTGTGTGTGCGTGTGTGTGCGTGCATGTGTGTGCACGTGAGTGCACGTGAGTGAGGAGAAGAATGAAACCAAAACCATGTGTTTGCAATAGTTGCCTTGGTAACAAGAGAGCAGACAAAGCACAGCCTTGAAAGCAGTATGGCAACGCGTGAATGGGCGAATGAATGGAGTTTGAGAGATGTGAGTGAGAGATAGGGACAAGAAGGGAAACCATAAAGTGTACATTTTGTGTGCATAGATAATACATTAACATATCCTTTTTACTCCTGTCCTGTCCCTTAGCCCCCACGCTGATGACCGAGCGCGACTTGAGACCAGAGACAGTGCTCAGTTTGAGTTCACCACTGCAATGAACACAGTCACCAAGTTCTATACCCAGAGCCAGGACAAAGGTGTGGTGTACCGTACAACTTCAAATTCTTTACAGAAATACCTTAGCAAATGCAAAATATATAAATACACCTATGCAATTTATGGGGCTGTAACAAAAAAAATACTAACATTTCACAACACTATTCTGATATTAAGGAAAATGCTCAATTCTCAATACTATATTTGGATCTAACAATAGTAATAAAAAACATTTTTTATGCATTTTTCAACAAACAAAAATGTGGTGTTTTTTTTTTTTAGATTTTTGAATTAACCAGTTTCCCTTCCAAGACTGACAAATTTATTTAATCCCACTGAAATGTAATTTGAGTCACTATTTTTTTATTATTTTAGTTTGCCGTATGTATATATTTTTACTTTGAAACACATATCTTCAATTTAATACTTTATTTTAAACCACTCTGGCTATCCAAGTGTGCCCTGTGTTCTGTCGGTATGAAATGTAACTTCTATTACTAATTTCAAAAAATTTGAATATCATGAATATTTTTGTCACTCGTTTCAGAAAGTCAAACCCATATATTATATAGACTCATAAAGTGAAATAAGAGTTATTTCTCAAATTTGTATGATTCTGGCTTACTGATAATGAGAAACCAAAATTCTCTGCCTCAGAACATAACAATAGTGTGAAAAAGATGAATATTGGAAAGTCATAGTGTCACACCTTAATCAGCTCATTAGCTCAAAGCACCTGCAAAGGTTTCCTGAGCCTTTAATGGTCTCTCAAGTGTGGATCAGTGGGCCACACAATCACGGAGAAGGCTGCTGACTGGACAGATGTCCTGAAGCCACTCACAGACACCTTCCACAAGGTAATCCACAAAAGGTCATTGCTAAAGAAGCTGGCTGTTCACAGAGTGCTGTATCCAAGCATATTTGTAAAAACTTGAGTGGAAAAGAAAAGGTGCACCAGTCAAAGGAACTGAGAGGACTGTCAAGGAAAATCAACTCAAGAATTTCAGGGGAGTTTCAAAAAGAGTAGACTGAGGCTGGAGTCAGCACATCTAGAGCCACTAGGCACCAACAAAGCCTATACAGGACATGAGACAATGTCAGAAGAGTCTTACCTGGGCAATGGAGAAAAAAACTGGACTGTTGCTCAGTGGTCCAAAATCCTCTTTTCAGATTAAAGCAAATTTTGCATATCTTTTGAAAATCAAGGTCACAGAGTCTAGAGAAAGAGTGGAAAGGCAATCCATGTTGCTTGAAGTCCAGTGTGAGGTTTCCACAGTGAGTGATGATTTGGGCTGCCATGTCATCTGCTGGTGTAGGTCCACTGTGTTTTCTGAAATCAACAGTCAACGTAGCCATCCACCAGGACATTTTAGAGCACTTCTTGCCTGATTCTGCTCGCAATCTTTATGTAGATGCCAATTTCCTTTTCCAGCAGGACTTGGCACCTGTCCACACAGCCAAAGGTACCAAAAGATGGCTCATTGACCATGGTGTTACTGTGCTGGATTGGCCTGCAAACTCACCTGACTTGAACCCCATAGAATCTCTGGGTTATAGTCACAAGGAAAATGAGAGACACCAGACCCAGCAGTGCAGATTATCTGAAGGCCGCTATCTTTTGCTTCTTCTACTTCTATTACACCTGAGCAGTGCCACAGGGTGATTGCCTCCATGCCATGGGGCATTGGTACAATAATGCATGCCAACCAAGGAAGCCCAACCAAGTATTGAGTGCATAGAAATGAACAAACTTTTCAGAACTTGTAATATTCTAATTTTCTGAGACATAGAATTTTGTTTTTTCATTATCTCTAAGCTATAATCATAAGAATTTAAGAAATAAACTCTAGAAATATTTAACTCATTTGTCATGTGTCTATATAATATATGAGTTTGATAAGGGTTTGACAACGAAATTGTCAAACTTTTTCATGATATTTTTTTGCAGTGGACTAGTAGTTTGTTTGCTTTTTCCAGACTCTCACTCTCTTTCAAGTGTAGCATCCTTAGAGAGCCCAGTTATCTGCTGTCTGGGGCCTCTCATCCAATTCCTCAAAGAATTCAAACTGGAGAGAGTTCTTGGAAGTGAATGGTATTTTCAAACAAACAAGTCTTACCACCTGCAGTTCACAGTATTCACCACCACTGATGTGTTTCTTTACTGTTCCAGTCATTTTCAGCATCTACTCAGTGGATCAGAAACTATGACACTTGGTGCTGCCACCCTTAAGAACCTGGAAATCCTAAGAAACCAGGTAAAAGTTATGTTGTCCCCATAGGGAAATGTATGTATGTGTATCCTTTTCATGTATTTATTTAACCCATACATGATTACATAGTACTATATGGTCAGAGAATAGAACGTTTTTGGTGTGATGTATAAATTCTGTCACTATATTAGAGCCTTGAAGTTGCCCTATATAACTTTTCTAGTGGATGGTTTGTCATCTGCTGGTCTTTGAGGAGATGTTTTTTTTTCCTGAGAATGTACCTTACTATGACATTCAACTTGAAAAGAGACATTCAGGTGACACCTCTAGGCCAAGTTTAATCTGTAGTGGTGTGGTGGTGATTTGTGGTGAGACATCCACAATCACAGCAAGAATACATTATTTAGTCAAGGTATCTTTTTTTTTTTTTAGCAGTGGAAATTCTTTAAATAAAGAGTGTGGATAAATTTAACATTTTTCAATAGGATATTCCAGGCAATGCAATCTCTAACTAACACAAGCAGGTGGCTCAGAAAAGTTACATAGTACACCTTTAAATGCCTTTGATTAGAAAAGAAAATCACAAAGTATTCATACATAAGAGCTGCATGTTGAAATGAGTGCCTGTATTGAATGCAGACAGATGGGTTGGTGAAGGGCAGTCTGCTGTGGGTGCTGGACCACACTCACACTGCGTTTGGGCGAAGATTAATGAGGAAGTGGGTGAGCCAGCCGCTTATGGACCCACAGTGAGTATACAAGTCTCCAGAGCTCCCTGAATACCTGTAAAATCTGTGTACTGAATGATCTAATACAGCTTTGATTGGTTTCATATTCTACATTGTGTGGATGTGAAGAGCCAGATTTCTCTGTTGATTACATTGTATTTTACTATGAAATATCTAAAACGTAAATGCACAAATGTGGAACCTGACCATTTCTATGGGTGATTAGACCCTTTTAAAAAAAATTGTAAAAATAAATAAATAAATTCTAAATTCTGGAATAGAGGCATCTTGAAGCAAAAGAGAAGTGGAACATAATGTGATTTCAATGGGGAAACCCGGATTAATCCCAGAATATCACAAAATATGAAAAATCCAGGGAAATTTGGCACATGAAAACCACTTAGACACAAGTGAGTGATATGAGAGTTTAAAAACATTTACAAACATTTACAATTGCGTTTTATGTTATTTGTTAATTCAAGAAGAGATTATGATGGACACTAAGCATTTTTGACAAAGGAAATACCCCTCTCCAGTTTGTTACTTCATCTATAGATACTATTAGAAATCTGTATTTCTTCATCCGTCTTTACAGAGAAGCAAATTAACTTGTGTGTCATGGAAATTCAAAATTGCTGTTTATTTTTTGCTATAGTGCCATAAAACAATTGGCTTTTCAAACTGTTTAACATTGAAAATGCATTATGTCTGCTTTGTTTTGCTTCCATTCCAGAAATTTCAACATTCTGATGACATAGGATTTTAAAATGTCCATTAATTACTTTTTTAATCTCAGGTCCATCTCAGACAGACTGGATGCCGTGCAGGAGCTCTTGGAGTCAGACTCTGTCACGTTAACATCTCTTAAATCACTGCTGTGGCATTTACCTGATGTGGAGCGAGGCATTTGCAGCATATATCACAGAAAGGTAGGGTGTGACTAATCAGACAGTGATTAATACATTTTTAAGCCCTTGTCAATGGACACACAGTTTCGTGGTGCGCAAGCTCCTTACAGTGGTTTGCAAGGTCCTCTATAGTTCTAATGTCAATTTATCTACTTTTTGGTCCTCCTTCGAGCAATTTCATTTTTAGAACTACTGTAGCAATGATGTAGTTCAATTTACACAAGGAACTGGTGATGCATTTTAGCTTAGACTTAGTGTGAAATGTTTGAAAACAATAATCTAACATGTCTTACAGCTCACAAGAGTCAACTCTGTGTAATGTAAAACCTTTACACACCTTTTTGTGTTTTAAAAATAATTGTTTTCTGATATGACAATCATTTACACAGTCAAAAACAATGATTGTGATGTCCAACGCAAAATAATAGTATTTTCTTTTATTATATTTTATCAATATTTTATGTATTTATTTATTTATTTGCGTAACCTTTATTTTACAAGGTAAAACATTAAAAACAAATTCAGTATTTATTCATAACGTTAGCACACCCATGTCTAGTTTACATTTAAAATCAAAAAGTCTGGGTGAGATTTGAGCCCAGTTTATGGTTAGCAACAAATTTAAATGACACAAGGCCAAAGGAGGACCTGGCCTTGGAACCTTGGAAGGATCGAGTGTTTTATCTGGACTCTTGTAGAATAGGTAGATGTGAGAACCATTTATCATGTGGTCTTATACTATATTTTTTTTCTTGGTCTAATAAAAAAAATAAAAATCTAACAAAATAATCCCTGGACCATGGTCTTTATACTAGTATACTTTACTTTGTACTTATTAAACTATTTCAGATTTTTTTTTCTCACTATCCTAGTTCAAATGAGTTTCTATATTTTTTTTTCCTGATTTGTGTGTGGGTATTGATCTTTCAACAAATTTACAACAAGAAAAGCTACAAAGAGGCTGATTAAATAATACTGCAATCTAGATAAAGATCAAAAAGAACATTAACAAATGACAGAAGGGGGCATTTGACGACCAAAACACAAACCAAGATGAAAGCATACCATTTGTCACTATGCTTTTTGTGTGCTCCTTGATTAACAACAGGGAGCAGTCACCTCCATAGCACTTACCTGATTGTCTGACACAATCTCATTTCCCTCTGGAGCCATGTTCAAAATGTCACCGGGCTCTGTGGTTTTTCAGCAGTGCTCAGACAGGTGCATGAACTCTTGTTTCATGTTTCATCTCATATTTATGTTCAAATATACAATCCTCAAATGCCACCAAACACACATATGTAGGGCTAAATTATCATTTCCTTGTCTGTGGTGAAACTGATCTGTGTAATGGTCTGTGTTTTGGAGGCTGTATTGATATAATGGTCGGGAGGTCTGCAATGGTCTATCTGGATTCATAAAAGAGCATCTCAGTGGCTGGACACAGTCTTCTAATCTACAGTTACCATAAAGCATGTCTGCACTGTCCTCATTAACCTTTCATGATGCAGTCCAATAGCGTGGCATCAGTGAAAGCAGTATAATATAACCCCCAAGTTAGCTTTTGCTGTACAATTTTAAGGTATTGACTGGTCATAAACTTACAAATGACCTGCAGTGTGTAACATTCATCCTTTGTATTGACCCTGAAGTTGTAATTCTGGTGACAGTGATGGTGTTCTAATCTACAAAATATCAATAAAAAGGGAACAGCTCTGATGCAGGGATTAGTTCTGCAAATGGTTCAAATCGGTGCGGGACAGATTATTGTGACTGGAAGGCTAAATAGGTGCATCAACAGCTGTGATGTTAAAATAAATTCTGTATTTAATGATCAGTCTTTGCCTTGTTTGTTAAGTGCTCCACACAGGAGTTTTACCTTGTCACCAGTGCACTGTCTAATGTGGGATACAGACTGGAGGCCCTGTTACCAGCTGCCCAGTCCCAGGTCACTTCCCCTTTGCTGCAGAGCCTTCTATTCAACACTCCTGAACTGCTGGCACCTGCTCATGGTGTTATCAAGGTGCTCAACGAAAATGCTGCAAAGTAAGACTGCTGTTAAAATAACTTTGAATAGCTTGAAGGAAATTTAAATTACTTGAATCAAAATATTTTTTTCAGATCAGGAAACAAAACTGAGTTGTTCTCAGATTTGTCAGGTTTCCCTGTGCTTCAGGACAGGAAAGAACAGATTCAGGCAGTGTTCAGCGAGATCCAAGAACACATTTACGAAGTCCGAATGTTGCTAAAGAACCCTTCTCTCAGCTATAAGACTGTGTCAGGGCAAGAGGTAAGAGATGTATTTTACTTAAGTGACTGTTTTTGACATATAACTGCAGTCCATTGCTTAGGAGTCCAATGCTTTGTTCACACCATTTTCCAATGTTTATTTTATTTTCAGTTTCTAATTGAAGTGAGGAATTCTCAAGTTTCCACAATACCCACTGACTGGACAATTGTTAGCAGGTAAGCCCATTGTTCTTACCTGTGTGAACAGTAAATGCTAATTAGAACAAAACATAAAGTGCACAATGTAACCTTTCTGACAGAAGGTCTGCCTTCCTTGGTCAGCTGTGGAGCTCAGTGTAAAAATGCATTTTTTTTTTCTGCAATAAAAACTTTGTACTTGAATAATGGAAGATAGATACATTTAATGCCATACAGTGAATTATTCCTTTTAAAGGACACATTTAACATTTCTTATCAAACCTCTTACTGTTAAAATATTACTATTTATGTTTTCCTGACAGCACCAAGACAATGGTCAGATATCACTCCCCTTTCCTAGTGGAGCATTATAAGAAGCTACAACAGCTCAGGGAACAGCTGCAGCTAGACTGCCAGAGGGAGTGGATCCGATTCTTGGAGTATGATACACATTCACACTCTGGCATAAAAAAATTGTGAAAATGTTTTTGTGTCTTGCAAAATTCTCTCGCAATTTTTGTTAATTTAAGCCTCCTCTGAATGTATTGTAGTACCCATCTTAATTTAGACTTTTTCTTCTTTCCTCAGTCAGTTTGGGGAGCACTATCACACTATAAAAAGAGCTATTAGTCACCTAGCAACCATGGACTGTCTCTTTTCATTGGCTGAGGTGGCTAAGCAAGGGGACTATTGCAGGTGAAGTTCTTGTGCAATGACCATACATTTTGGAGGGTACGTGTGGCAGGGTATTTCTCTCATTGTTCAAAAATCAGTATACACACTAAGTTTATGTGGACCTGCCTGTCAAAAATCAGGTCCACATGACATAAGTCTGTTATCATTAGATCAACAACATGGTTTAAATTTATGATATGGGTTAAAAGTGATTAAGGTAAAAATTTTGGTTAAGGTTAGGCAAGCAGCGTGCGTGTGTATGCGTGCGTGTGTGTGTGTGTGTGTGTGCGTGCGTGCGTGCTTGTGTGCTTGTGTGCTTGTGTGCTGTGTGTGTGTGTGTGTGTGTGTGTGCGTGCGTGCGTGCTTGTGTGCTTGTGTGTGTGTGCGCGTGTGTGCGTGTGTGTGGGCGGGCGTCCTGTGTCATGTCCTGTCGTCTCAGACCGGCTGCGTGTGGGAGAATGCACCAGCTCTGCAGTGTGTTCAAATACAATGCCAACATCTTACACACACACACACAATCAAACACACACAATGGGTTTCCATCCATCTTAAGGACAATGCATTAACCTACAATTAGAGACTGATTCTCACTATAAACATACTTGATTTAAAAATGTTATTAGTTTAATAAAGAAATTATGTCTAGATATGTCTTGATTTTTGTCCCCATTAAAGAGGCAGATTGCCTTGAATTGAGTGTGTGTACAGATTTTAGTACTCACAATGTGCTGAATACCCACCACACACAGAACCTTGGCATTTACACACAAATGCATTCATTGTTTACATTTTTAATACTTTCTCGTTTGACAGTGAAATTCTGTCTAATATACTATACTGCACATTATTATAACTCAACTTGTTATGTTTGGAGAACACTTTATGTACATCTTTTTATAATGTATTTTTGCTATTTATTAAACTGTTCAGGGTATGTATTGTATGCATTATAACATTTTGCTGACCCCCCCCCCCTTTTTTTTTTTTTTTTTTTAAAAACAGGCCTGTAGTGAATAGCAGTGACCAGTTGATTATGATTCGAAATGGTAGACATCCCATCATAGATCTTCTAATGGGAGAGCAAAGCCAGTATGTGCCCAATGACACAGAACTACAGGTACAGAACAATACTACGCTTTAAGCATATAGAACACAGACACATATTTATATGGGTAATTTGCAGTTTTGTGCCTCTAGACACGTAAAAATATAGGAAACTTTAAAGACGACAATTTATACTTTTGAGGGAGAATCCATCATAACATGGTAAAAAACAATGCTTCTTTTTGTATAGACATCCACAACATTCTTTTTTATTCTCTCTGCACAACTTGATGTACTCTCCTGCTCAGTGATGGAAGTGGGTGTAGGTTGTTCTTGCATAAAGGCACATGAGAAAAGAGATATTTTCAGTCCACCCACTGCCTCAGAGGTGCAGGACAGGCTGCAAATATATATTCTGGTGTTTCTCCCCATTTGCCCTCAGTCTGTCACCGGCTTTGGTTCCATGCTCACCCAAATATGATTATTATCTGATTTTTGGAGTTTCAATCTTTTACATTGGATTTATTTACTTCAAGAATAAATTTTAGACTTAGATTTAGACAAATTTTATTGAACCACAAAGGAAAATACTTGGATAGAGCACCCAACACATCGCAATATATTATAATAACAAAGAGCAAAAATATAAATGGTAATAAATAAGTAAATTCAAGATAACTAGAAAAAATAACAAGAGACTTGTTGTCAAATAAAGCATAATTATCTTAACATATATGTAAAAGTAAAGATAAAATATAAAAATATAGTAATACAAATATAAATGTGCTTTGAGTTGTTTCAGATCTAATTTGGTTATCTGATTACTCCTTTATCTGATGCTTATGGGCTGTAAATGTACACACTTTTTCTGTCTCTTCCATCTCCAGATTGATAGTAGGAGAGCCATGGTAATCACTGGTCCTAACATGGGAGGGAAGAGCTCCTACATCCGACAGGTGGCTCTCATCTGCATCATGGCTCAAATGGGTTCCTATGTCCCAGCCACTGAAGCCCGTCTGGGTCTACTGGATGGTATTTACACCAGGTGAATTCATACCAACCTTACCATTACATGTTTCATGTTTATTCATCCACTCAACCACATCTAGAAATTAATATTTCAAATCAACTAAACATACAGCAGTGCTGCACAGTAAATAAAAGGTTATGTATGCAGCCAATATTAACATTCAGTACTTTCTTTATCTTAAAAAAAACACAAAATTAGTTTAAGCTCCATAGTGATGATGTAGAGTGTAATAAAAAGGTGCAAGACCCCATCCCATAAACCGCATGAATAACTACTGTTGCCACACAAGTAGTGTCCCATTCGATATTAATGTAATAAAAAACAGGAAAACCACTTAAATTGTAACTAAATCAACAAATGGAATGATTGAAATATTAATATTAAAAATTATATTACATTAATATAAAAACTAAAATGAAAAAAGCAAATACACATCTCACACAGTGTTAAAATACAATAGACATTTAAACGAACCATCTCAAATGAATCCTCCTTTGAATCATCTGAAACCCAACAGTGTACAGTGTGATTAGTCTTAATGAGTTGCAGATGTAGAATGGTCTTTTTGTGGTCTAAGCAAGTTCTGAAACATGAACCCACTGGGAGACAGTGGGTGGACATAAATGCCCCTTTGTCCAAGGTTTAATAAAAAGAAGTAATTGTTGTGGAATATCTATATCTATATATCTATATCTATAATATATACTATATATATATGTATGTATGTATGTATATATATATGTATATATATATATATATTTTATTTATTTATAATATTTTACAACATCCATGTGTTTTTCCATCCTCTCTGTGAATTACTTTAATTGTTTCTGCAAAATTAAATTGGCTATAGCAGCGTTAAAATTGTATTTCCACTGAGAATTTTCAGTAATGTGTATTTGATAAAGTCTTGGACAGAATGAGCGAGTGAACTGAGCAGAATTTATGTTTGAAATAATGAGATGGTGCGTAGGTGTCTAATGGGATATCCTGTCTAAACTGATTCATATGATTGCTTATGATGCCCAAATGAATCGTCTGTGAGATGCATTCACTCCAAGTTTCATCTGTTAAATATGGTATCTGCAGCTCATGTAGCTTAGTTGGAGCTTGTATGCATTTCCTGGTAGGCCACTTATAAAATGTTTTTCTATCACTATTGAGACCTGAAGGTTTTAGCGCGCATTCTTGCATCTCTTCACGGTCGTTATGGAAACTGCTAAGGGAAACTGTTCAATGTAAAACTGTTTTGAAAAGAACCTTTAATCGACTCCAACAGTGAGTATACTGCTAATGCCTTACATAAACTTATGTCATATTTTGTAACAAACATGACACTATAGTCATATTTGTGTTGTCTGGCACTTGTTGTCTGGTCCAAATGTAATGAAGGCTTTTTAAAGGTTTTTGTGCATAACTAATGGGTTAAGCCTAATTTTAAAATTGTTGACAGCGTGTTCTTGGTGTAACCACCCAGAGCAGGAGGCTGTGTAGGAACAGGAGTCTGTAGAGATTTCTTTCTTTTTCTAGGCTGATCAATAACACATGCTTAAAATGCATTATAATTCCCATGATATGGAACTTGGAAAAAAAGGTTTAATAGAATAATAAGCTATTTGTTTATATGAATTCAAAGAGCATCTTTATATTTGGTACGTATTATAATGAAAAAAAATCATAATTGTGGATTCCATTTTAAAACCTCCACAGCCCTTTCCATTTGCCTTCTTTGCTCTTTGCTGTCGCATGTGCCCTTATTGTGCGCTGGCTCTATGCTGACAGGTGCAAGAGCCTGAATCTCTTCTGTCTACCTTCACCCAGTGTCGTCACCGCTCTCTGTGCGAACATGCATAGGCTCCTGCAATGCCATAAATTGGATAATATAATGCGCTGACATGTCCTCCATGCCCCCTCCTTTTGTGGCTTGTGACATAACCATGGTTACACATGTGCTGCTGTTGTTGACTGGCAAGTACTATGTCAAAGGACAATGAGAAAACTGAAAACACAAATGCACTTGATTCAGAGAGACAAGATTTTTAATTTTCCACATTAACAACAAGAGTCATTTTGTCCTTTATATTGTACCACAGATTAACAATTTTTTATTACTTTAAAGCACTTTGCCGTATGTACTTTAAAGTTGCCAAAAGATTGTATGTGGTTGTCATTTCCCTGAAGTATGGATTAAATGGCACAAACTTAAGAGATGGTAGTGTTACAATTTCTCTTTTTTACAGCCCAGATCAACTTTTTGATTTTCTGTCAGTGGCATGAAATAATCCTGTTGGAGGGTGTTTGGGTGTCACCACTACCCATAAATTCACTTTATAGCATGTCTGTCTCTTCTGCACAGGAGGGTACGGTTTCACCAGTATAATTTTAGTTTATCACTCTATTCTGAAGTCATTTCATAGATTTCTGTTGTAAGTATTGAATAACAGTCATCAAAACAGAACCAATAAATCATTTGTCCCACAAGTCCAGGTCCTGATTTTGTTTGGCTTTTAACCTATAACATAACCTTTCATCAAAATAAATTCCATATTATTATTATTTATTGCATGATTTCTGTTATCTAGGCAATATGATTTCTCAGTGAATTAGCTCTCACACAGAATGTCCTTTGAGTTTAATGGATGGAGCATGTAAAGTTTATTCCCTTACCTGATTGTCCCAGTACGACTGAAGTTGAATCAAATTCAAATGAGAATATAAAATAAAAAGTTTGACATTTACTTGAGCATAACCTCCCTCTATTTTCATTTGTCTGACTGTATTGTAGAATGGGGGCCTCAGACAACATCTACAGCGGCCGCAGTACTTTCATGCATGAGCTGAGTGAAGCCTCTGACATTATTTTCCGAGCCACTGAGCGCTCACTGGTTATCCTGGACGAGCTGGGCCGAGGCACCAGTACACACGATGGGATAGCCATAGCTTACGCCACATTGGAATACTTCATCACACAAGTAAGTGTCCCAATCAACGTCTGTATAACTCATACTTTACTTTTCTATCTTGCTTTATCTAATTCTATCTATAGCAACACAAAACAGCTGATGTTTCCGTATTAATATAAACCGTTATCAGAATTACTTGTTTCAGAGACACATTTTTTGGTTTTCTCTCTATGATGATACACTGTCACTGTCCGCTGACACAAAGCCTAAACACAAGCAGGGGCTGATCTCTGCTAACTGTGGCAGATGGTAATGATTAGTGTTTGATTTTTCATAACAAAAATCTGTCATACATTCCAGCAAATAAATATTAAGCTGAATTTATGTATGCATATTGCTCCGAATTGCTTCTAGAGTCATTCTTTTCCAGACTGTGTAGTTTTTTGTTTGGTTTTGTTTTTGACAATACTCAAGGTTTTGGTTTAGCTGTGAAAAGGATGTAGACTGAGCAGAGCAGGACATGATTTGGAGGATTTCCAACTACCTATTGCATAAGAATATTGATTTATTAGAACTCCATAGCTATTAATGAAACAGTCTAAAAAAAAAAATCTGTATTTTACAGTCAAAGCTGCTGGACATCCTTCCTCCTCTTCATGCCCACCACTGATCCTCCTCTGACTTGGTTGTTATAGTAACACACCTTTTCTGTGTTCCCAACACTCACCTGAGAGGAAGTTAAGAATGTAGACAAGTTTTATAACAGCTCTCGAACAGGCAGCCTTGATGTAGATATAGAGGAGCCAAGCTGAGAGCAGAACATTAAAGGCCCTGATAAACTCAGAGGTTTAAAAATATAAAAGTTTCATGAAGCAAGCTAATACCTTCTCTCTGTAAACATGCATTATGCCATCCCATGGCACTGTAGTAGCTCTGATGCTCACTTTTGACATTGTACTGGTGGGGAAATGTCTAGAAGTATGTTAACATGTGCAACTCCCCATTAAAATATGTCAGAATCTGTAATTGTAAGGTGCTCTTTTGACAGACTTTTCACAGGAGTAAAGATGAAAGAAACCCAGTTTCTTAGTCAAAATGTCAAAATATCCATAGCTGCATGTGACTAACCTGCACATTTAAAGTCTGAGGCTCATGGAGGACCTTGTTAGTTTGAAGTGAGAATCAGCCCCAGAGCTGACTGGGATGTGAGTGTAATTGGCCCTGGGCAGTGAGCAGGGGCACAGTTGTTGGTCTGGTGTTGACAGCTCTAACTGATTGTTTCAGTACCACGATGCTAAAAGAAGCCTCTTATGGTACTTATTACTGCGCAGGAAAAGTCACAAATGATGTAACTAGGTCAAATTCAGTTATAACAATTATTTATTTCTAAAACTATTTGATTTTCTAAATCCCCAAGCCTATTCTGATGAATTCTTATTATCCTACATAACCTATGGATATCCAATATTAATTCTATAACTAAACAGTATTTGTTTTTTTTTTAACCTAATTGTGATAATTAATTTCCTCTCTTATATCCTTCATTGACACTCAATAAAAAGCCAAAACACCAGGGCTTTTCATAATTTCTCCTTATTTGTTCTGTTTCTTTTTGAGACATTGAAAGCATTAAATATAGTTGATATAAATGTGCACAATGTAACTTGTGGAGGGTCTGTTTGTCACCATCAAAATGTTATTGCTTTGTATGAAATATCCTACAGTATGACTTTAAACATGTATATCTTGCATTCACTTTATTGAAGGTCTTTTTATTGCTCAAAAAACTCTTCTACCGATGTAACTTGGCTTGGTGGGGTCATGCACTTGTTTGCATAGAGGTAGGTACGTTTAATCAGAATTTGAAAAGTTTTATTGCCATTGGTGGAACATAAAGTAATGAGTAATATTAGTACACTAGATACACTATCCAAAAAAGGGTGTGCATAAAATGTACTATGGAACATTCCAGGCAAAGCAGGCAGTGGATCCTTGACCAGAAAAGTTACATAGAGTTTCTTTAATGAACAATGTATTAGACATTTGGACCAGTATTGCAATATCCACACTCTACACCTATCAACTCTAAACTGAATAAATGGCACTGATTGATTAAAGTTATTTATACTAATTGCATGAACAGGGCTGTCAGGGCACCCTGGGGTGTCATGTAAATAATGGGCCATTAGTACTTAATCACAACAGCATTATGTGGGTGGGACCTCCCCTGTGTCCTGTGTGTCTGACGGTGGAGGTGGACAGCACTGATGGAGGCTGTTCTCTCAGAAGTATCTTTCATGGCACATGCCCTTCGGAGCTGAGCTGCTGGTCTGATCTGCTAACAACTTGCAGACCGTTGCCATCTAATACATACTGTTCACAGAAAAAAAAGTATTTTGATTTAAAGAGTTTTCTTTGTTTCAGGTATTTGTTTGATGGGATGGTACATGTGGTAGTGCTATTTTTGATTTGTCAGTTAGCCAAATAATATAAAACAGTACGAATGATATAGCCTAATGCAAATAATATGGATGGTCAAATATTATAAAACATTATAAACATGTTAACTATGTTTTAGTTAAATAAATAGTTAATACTTAATATTAACAGTATATTGCAAAAAAAAGGAGAACACTGATGTTCAACTAATTAAGTGAGGCTCATACCAATGCGTCTTGACCTTTATGTGGTCTTCATCAGGGCAAGCAGTTCTGCTTAAAAACACATTGGTATGTCCCTCACTTAATAAAGGATTTTTAGTCAAACATCAGAGTGCCTGAGACCATTTCCCTTTTTTTTCAGTCTGCATTTCCAGTGGATCCTTGATGAACACCTGATGTCACGTTATTGTTTACCCCTCAGAGACTTATACTGTTCATAGTAATTCCAAAAAATATATCAGTTAATCTATAATGCTCAAGATTTACTAGAAAGCTCTTGCGTGCATTTCCTGTGTATGTAAAGAAATCACTTACAGAGCCGCAGGGCAGCTCTCAGGTCGTACAGATTTAAGAAGCAGCAGGAGGAAGAGAGCTGCTACTGTTGTGTTTGTGCCTCAAAAACAGAATAAGAGACCATAAGAGACATTATACCTGCCTGAGGTTTCAACTATATTAAAAACGTGTCTGGTACTCTTGAACTGTAAAAGCCAGCATACTTAAAATGATTTTTAGACTATTTACCACCACTATGCACTGTATAACTTTCTTGGTTGCAGGTCTGCCAACATCTTGTTTCCATAGAGATGTTATTGCTTTGCCTGAATGTTACACAGTATGGCCTTAACATTAATCTGTCTTTGCCTGATGATGCCCCTTGCTTGTTTCCAGGGTGTAATGTCATTCTATGTAACAGTCAAGCCAAAGCAATAACATCTCCACGAAGACAAGCAGTTGGAGGACCCTGTAACAGAAAAGCTACATAGTGCATTTTTAAGTAAAATGTGATATTAAGCGTATTTTCCTTTTTCTTTAGGTGAAGTCATTTACATTGTTTGTGACGCATTATCTTCTTCTGAGCGAACTGGAGCAACTGTATCCTCAACATGTTTTCAACTGCCACATGGCTTTCCTGATAAATGATCCTGATGTTGCAAGTGCAGATGGTAAAAACATATTGCAAATGTTTGAATTCACTTGTTTGTTGGGCTAGTTGCTTTGTGCTGAGGCTAAGTTGAGATCTTTTACTAGATGAAGTCCGCCCTGAGTTCATTACCTTCCTGTATCAACTGACTGGAGGTGCTGCCGAGCGGAGCTATGGTTTGAATGTGGCCCGGTTGGCGAACATTCCTGATGCCATTCTGAACAGGGCAGCTCATAAGGCTCGGGAGCTGGAGAATACGGTGAACAATAAAAGGTATGACTCCCACCTTATTGTTAATGTTCTCCCAATATAACAGTTCAAATTTACATTTTATAAACTATAAAGCTATGATGAATAGGCCTGCCATAATTACTATCGGCTTATTGTTCAATATAGAAAGCTGGAACAATATTTTTTTGGGGGGGAGTAAATATTTATTATGTGTACGTTTTCTTTGCACAACTGGGAATTCTGGTTATTTTTGACTAGATTTAAGCTCTAAAAGAAAGAATGAATAACTTCTATGACCTGTAACAGATGCAAACTGTGCTAAAGTCTTTCTTTTTGCTATTTTTTGTTGCAGCTCATGATTTCTTTTTATAGTATTGTAAATTTAGAATAATTTTTGAGGCATAATCCTGCTTTAGGGTTGTTGTGTCCGTGTCATAAATTAGTTGCAATATTATCGTTTGTCTATATTTTCTTAAGAAATATATTGCATTTAAAAATTTGTTATTGTGACATTCCCAGCTATGAATGTGTTTTAAGCTATGGCATTGGTTTTCCAACACCATAGCAATTAAGCAAATGAAATAAAAAATTAAAATTTTGAGGCAAGAATCAGGAAGGAATAATTACTCTGAAACCTTTGAATAGTTTGCATACATCTGACATGATAACCAGTGTTGAGAGTAATGCGTTATAAAAGTAATGAATTACTGTAATGCATTGCTTTTTGTTGTAACACAGTAATGTATGGCATTATAGGGAAATTTTTTTTAATGTTTTACTCGGTACAAATGTCAATAATGCGCATTACAATGCTTTTTTAACCTGGATTGAAGTGGTGGGTTTTTCTTTTTTCTTCATAATAATTTGATAAAATCACCGCGAAATCAGCAGCGTAGACCGTAAGGTAACCGCGAGTGACAGGATGGGCACAGAACTCCGCGCTCCACGGGGCGAATCGCAGGTGACACCCAATCGCGCCTTGTAGACACCCTGTTCCACGGGCTCAGGGTTCTCTCAGGGGCGGTCCTAGATTCCAAATTCTAGTCCAAGATTAGTCCTGGTTTGGTTCTGGTTTAGTCCTGGTTTAGACCTGTTTTAGACCTAGTTTAGTCCTGGTTTAGTCCTCGGTTCAGTCCCGGTTTAGACCTAGTTCTGTCCTGGTTCAGTCCTGGTTTAGTCCTGGTTTAGTCCTGGTTCAGTCCGGGTTCAGCTCTGGTTCAGTTTTGGTTTAGTCCTGGTTCAGTCCATATACAGAGCAAAATTTCAGCATCTTAGCATAAAAGTAATGCAAGAGTAATGTAATGCCTTACATTTTAAATGCCATAATATTGTAATGTAATGAATCACTTTGAAATGACAGTAACAAGTAATAAATAAAGCATTACATTTTTAAAGTAACTTACCCAACAGTGATGATAACTTCTAGAACCTTAATCATAGCCATATATGTTGAACTTTATCATTTCTGTTAGGGATTGGGTCCACAAACATTTCATATAGGAGTAATCCTCCTATATGAAATGTTTGTTCAGTGTGCGATACCACACATAGTACAGTAAAGGCACACAGCAAGCAATGAGCTGAAGTTAAGTACGAGTAAGTTCAGTCAAGGCTCACTTTTAGTTATTTGAGACTTCAGAAATAATTTAATTTTTTTGTTTGTTTTGTTTTCTAGGAAGAATAAGAAACTCATTACAGATCTATGGAAGATTTCAGATAAAAATGCGCTGATGGAGTGGCAGATGTTAAGCCACTCTTCCACCTAGGAAGAGATCTCGAGACAAAGATTAAACATCAAAGAACGTCAGAAAAGCACCAAGAGGTTATCTATAAGCTTTGCTGTATTTGTACTTATATTAAAACTGAGTAGATCAACAAAATCATACATCAACTGAACTATGACTAAATAATGAATAACTTGTATATGATCAATTTTTGGTGAATAAAATTGTATGAAACAGAACATTGCGTCAACACCTCCAATTCATTCAAGTCATTGTGCTTGGGGTATTTTGGTGCATCTGGAACAAGAGTATTCTCTGAATGAAGCATGATGACAACATTCTTTAAACATTCTGTTTAAATGAAACTGATTTTCCACATTGTGACCAGTCACAATGCTTCAGATTTCAGACAGAATGACAAAGAGGATGATTCTAAATTAAAGTCTTCTCTTCCAGTAGTTTCAGCACTTTGACAATGTGGGAGTAAAATGGTCATACACTACTTTTACAAACAGCCTTTGAACCATATTAATTGCTTTATTTTTGCATCGAGTTAATTTAAGCATCGATTGCCGTTACTTAGGTTTTATTTATGTGTGAGATTCTATTAATAAAAATAAACTTCTGAACTGAAAAATCCCTCCTTAGATTTGTATTTCTGTCTGGGTTGGTAGCTTCGAATCCTTAAAACGCACTCGCATCCATGACACTAAGCGCACACGCTCCGCCTCTCCACTCCAGGAGAGCGCGCGCATCACTGAGGAGTGAGCAGTGACGTGTTCGTGCGCGCACGAGACTTAACCCCGGTGAAAGCCGATTAGGACGTGTTCTCCACTGGGTGCATGTTCGTGGCACCCGTATCCAGTTGAGGGCTTCCCCGCGTGGCGACGCCTCTGGCTCTTTACCCTTCTTTATAAAAGGTTTTACTCTGTTGGCTGCAACATGGGGTCCGTGTGGTGCGCACTGCATTCATTGCTATGAGTTTCTGCGAGAAAATGGATCAACTTTTGCGCGCGCCTTGGCACCGCTGAGCGTTCCGTTTCTCTGGAAAAGGTTTCAAGACTATTCCTGTAAACATGGACCCACAGTGAGGGAACCCAGCTCTACCGGTGTCCTCTTTCCTCCTGTGATAAGCAAGATGCAGAAGAGCGTCCGTTATAATGAAGGCCACGCGCTGTTTCTGTCCGCGGTGGCGCGTAAAGAGGGCACGAAGCGAGGCTATCTGAGCAAAAAAACTACAGAGAACAGTCGCTGGCATGAAAAGTTTTTTGCTCTTTACCAAAACCTACTTTTTTACTTTGAGGGCGAACAGAGCGCTCGACCCGCCGGGATTTATCTTTTGGAAGGATGCACCTGCGAGCGCACCCCGGCACCCAAGATGTCCTCGACGGGAAAAGAGTTAATGGACAAACAGGTAAGACCTGGCACAGGTAATAAAGTTTGTATGATGTCTTTTGTGTCAGAGTTGTGTCACATTATAAGCTGTAGTTGGTAAGCCAACTCAACAGGTGATTCTGTTGTGGTGGGAGAAGGATGGATGATTTAGAAAACAGGGTCTCTAACTGTCCCTGGACCAAAACTCCATTTGTTTTTACCCTGTGATTTCAGACTTTGTCATCTTATGTTGTCCAGTGCGATTTGCTCAGCCTACAGCCTACAGCCTACAGCAATATCCACACAGCGTAGTCTCAGTCCAGCAACCAAGAGGGAAGCCAAACTTTCACTTGATAAATATATGGACAAACAGGGGCTAAATGTCTTTCTGCTCCTGGAAGTTGCCTCACTTTGTTGCTGTAACATTTAGGTAGTTGTTGTTGCTAGGAAACATTTGAATCACCATTTGTACATGCAGCTTGAGCTGCAGGGGCAGTCTGCGAGTCTGTGTCTGTGTGTATGCGTGTGTGCTGCTCTGAGCTTCAGATTCAGGGGGCAGAAAAATAGAGAAGGACCAGCCTAACTTGTGCAAATTTAGATGATGATCAATCCTATTAATCCTCAAATAATGCTCTCTATAAACCTTTATTAATTTACTTTTCTAGGCCTGTATTTGTTTGATAAAACTAGATTCAGGATTTGACTCGCACTTTATGTTGTGTAATGAAAAATATTATGGATGGCATCTGCAATTGTAATGTCTTCGTTCACCAATACCCCAGACCCATCTGTCTTTGGCTCACACTACAGCTGTGATGTTTAATTAGGGTTATTTTCAATCTGCCCTCAGTGTACATGGACTCCTCCATGCAAAAGAAAGAAGAAATAACATGCTTGTTCCTGCTTAATGGCAGGATTTGATTTAGGATTAACTGTCTGGGACATTTTTCTGCACTGTGAATGTATTGTAAAACCTTTTAGTTTTTTTTTTTTTTTTTTATCAGATTGGTGCAACCTCAAGCTGCTTTGTCACACCCCCACAACTGCCACACAAATAATCAACCTGAAATAACTCTTGTGGCTTGCCTCTTGGCCTTTTTTCCTCTTTTGTGTTCAGATGGACAGAGCTACGTAGGTCTCAGTGGTTTCCACAGTGACTGCCTTCTTGCACTGGTGATGGCTCAGACTAGCAGATATGAGTATAATTACCACAATCCCTTCCCCCATCATGATAAACTATTGATTTCCAGTAGCACCGCAGAGCTCAAGACCAATGGCAAGACTACAGCTATTCCTCATCATTAAATGCAGTAAATAGTTTGTATAAAATACATTAATTAGTTAATAAAATATATATAGTATTTAGGTTGATTTACTAACAAGTACATGAACATTTGAATGCTTTTGTGGCATTATAAATGTCATATGAGCATTGAATTATAACTTGTGAAAAGTAATTTGTAACCAAGGCCTAATTTGTGTAGTGTAGTTTCACATAGACTGAACGTATAGTAGAGATCATATATTTGCATTTCAAAGCTTCTCTTCCTGAATTGTTTGTGCATTGGGCCCTCTGTAGCCTGCTGAGTGTGCAGTTTGCAGTAAACCTGTGCATTTTCCAGCTGTGCAGCTCTTGACACCATTAGCACAAGATGGGGGAGCAGACATCTAAACTTGATGAATGCCTTTGCTTTAGAGATTTTATTTTTCATTACATTTTTATTAAGATCCTATTTTCTGATGATTTAGTTATTTACCTTAGTGTTGTGATTTCCTTTCCTGGCCTCGACTGTTTGACAAATGTTTCTACCATCTCTCTTTCCATTTCACACGTCAACTGTCATGTCAAATAAAGCCTTTGGACCAGAAAACCTTTTAAAACATATATAATAATAAAAAAATTAACATAAAACTCACTACCAAATATGATCCATTGAATATTTTAGTCATGCAAACTAAAACATCCATGTAAAAGTTAAGGAGCCCATATTTTCTGATCTACTGTATGTTATGTTTCCTAATCACAAACATGCCTGGAGTTGTGTTTTGTTTCATTCACACATGTTTAACACACAAACCCTGCATAGTTCTCTTTCATATATCTCTCAAACAGAAAACATTCTAATCTATCTTGTGATGTCGTGTGATAATACAGGAAGTGCTTCACTGTATTTTTAAACTCCATACACCTTCATTAGAATCATTTGGATGATCCCCGCCCTGGAAGTGCCAATCTCATTTGAACTAAAAGCTTAAAGTTCACAAGAGTCAGGTAATATAGGACATTTAGTTTGGTTTCAAGGTAAACCCATGTAATTCTATGGAACAGTTTGGCTTGTTGATTCATTGCTGATGCTGATGTTGCTTCTTGTTTTTTCTTAGTTTTTGTTTTTTTGGAAAGGTCAGTAATGAGGTAAGAAGATTTGATCAAATAATCTCTGCTACTGTGAGATAAGGCCCAAAGATAAATATTGCAGTCATTGCTGGGTCTATAAGGGTCAATAAATGGGCAGACGATATGCTTGTGTGTTATCTTTGCCGCTGTGACATGTCATGGTGTTTGTGGTTAAAATGCATTTTCCTCATCCTGATCCCCACTATTTCTTGGTAAAGATTTGCAATCTTTACATTGTAAATTACTTCTGCAATAATTGTCTAACTTGCAATTTGCATTCATTAAAGGGGATGTTTTCAGTTGTTTTTGCTCAACTGGAAAACCGATTGCCTGATGTCCAATTAGACAGCTGGTGACTGTTTCTATTCTAGTCCCAGAACATTGGTGTGAAATAGGAGCTGCCTGATTTGTCCAATAGAGGGGAAATTGTCTTTTTAATCAGTAAAAATGTGTCTGCACAGCACCTTGTGGCCTTTGTCTTACGACCTGGGCTTATTGGAGGAACAAATTCTGTCTTGTGGGCACACTGGATATTGATGAGGCAGATGACCCAGTGCTGTTTCCTAGTGTAGATAATATGCATTGCCATACTTTGCTTTTCTCCATGGCGATGTTATTGCTTTGTCTGGAATGTTTCACAGTGTGGAATTAAACCTTTCTATCTTCATGAAGACCAAACCAGACCAAGTTACAGGTTAGATCTGGCAAGAGGCAACCAGGCTCACAGTCACAGCGGCTGTTTTTATAGGTATTTTTGAGCTATAAAACCACCTGTAATTTCAAAAATGTAAGGTAGAGCTGTTTAATGTCATACTGTGGAACATTCCAGGCAGAGCAATGACATATCCATAGTAAGAGGGTAATGAATCCCCAACCAGAAGTGACATAGTGCCCCTGAACAAAGCTAACATGTTTCGACCATACACAATCTTCATCAGGGTTTAGCTAGAATCAAAACTGAATAAAAACTGTTCTGCCCAAACCTCATATAATTCTTTTATTTTCATTCCCTTGTGGCAACAACTGAACAGAGAAACTTGTTAACAGTGTATTCGATCAAAAAGTGTCAGCTAATGGTGTTATCATTGGCTTAATGTATGTTTGTTGTTGCCTGAGCATGCTTCATGACTGCTGGCTTTTATAGGCTGTAGCCAGGCAATTCTCTTGACTAGTAAAACAGATTTATGGTGTGGTCACATGGTGTTTCTCTTGTGCTGTGGGAGTCATAGTAAACTCCAGCATCCTTTAAGGTTTGTGACTCGATCCCTGTTGGCACTGCAGCCACAGAGAAACTGCAGGGGAAGACACAGAAGGGAAAAGGGTTAGATGCCAGATACACACATTGCTTTTGTTGAGTGGGAGGACAGATGTGCTGTGTAGAGCAAGCCAGCTTAATCTTCAAATACAAACAGGTAATCCCATGTCTACAACGATGAAAATACAGCATGGGCTGGGAATCACAGGGTTCCTCACGATTCGATAAACGATACATGGCTAACAATATGGCAATTTATTACATGTTGTGATGTACATCTTTGATGTATTGCTGCATTTTAGCAACATTTTTTCTTTGTTAAACCTCTACTTGTGCAAAATGAATATGAAATACTTCCATTTTGATCATCGAAACAATGAATATGTCAAGTGTATTGCATAAACTAGTTCCCTTCTATTAAAAAAGCAACAAAGTTATCAAGCAGTCACAAAAAACTCAGAATAATAATACTTTAGCACCAAATGGCATTTTGATATTTTTGTACACTCCTACAGTATATAAGGCCCATGCATGGATACTGTAACTACAACTTTTCACTTGTTTAAAAAAAAAAAAAAAAAAGAATAATGCATTATACAAGCCTCAAGGGGCTTAACATGTGGTAATCTTCATCTAAATTGCATATACACAAAATATAAGCACAGAAATAAAATGAGAAATATATTAATTTCTCAGACTGTGTCAAAGGGCAAAGTGAACAAGTGTGTTATAAGAAGTAATTTAGAAATGGGTACAGAAAAGGTCTGTCTAATGAGGCAGCTCGTTATACCGTTTTGCTGGTGCTACTGCAAAACCCCGATCCCCTCTGAGCTTCCAGTGTTTGGCACTCACTCTCAAGAGAAGCTGACCTGAGAGACCTCGGAGAAGAGTAGGGACGGAGGAGCTCAGAGAGGGACAGAGGGGCAACACCATTCAAACACTTAAAAAAACCAAACAAATAAAACAAGTCTTAAACTGATCCTGAAGTGCATGGGCAGTCAGTGAAGGGAGGAAAAAAATGTTGTAATGTGGATATGATATAAATAGCAATTATAAAATGTTTTTTAAGACAAATTAGATACAGTGATGAACACAAATCCAATGTTCTGTCTGCTCTGTGTCTTTGTCATCTTCCTCATTTTTTGTGGCACCTGAGATTGATTTTTGGGCACTATAAATGAAATGGCATGTTCAGATGTTTATGTTGGGTCTACTGCTTATATCCATGATCCCAAAGTTCATGATCATAGCAGTAGTAGTGTTTTTTAGTTTTATTTTATTTTTATTTATTTATTTTTTTATAATGTAGTAATTTCTATTTGCAGTCAGTACAGCCAATATTTTTCATGCTGGATCCAAAATCTTAAGAGACATTGTCAACAATGACTTT